ACTGAATATAAAATAACAAAACCCTTGAGGAAGAGAAAGTATCAAAATGATCTAGTAAATTAATTTTGAAAAAGGTATGCAATTTTTAGGTGATTTATTTTTTAAATTCATAGGTTTGCTCCAAACTTTTGACCTCCAGGGTACATCCAAACAAGCTATTAAATTTGGTTAGAAGGGTCTGTGAAGCACTGTATATTGTAATAAATTAACTCTTTGTTTCTCTGTTTGAAGATTAAGTTTCATTTTCTTTAGGGAAACTTTCTTTTATTTTTTTTATTTTTTTTTAAATCACCTACAGAAAGTCAGAGATTACTGATTGAAAAGTCATGAGCTTTGGGATATGTGTCTAATCTGAACTTTCTTTTGACAAAAAAATCATGTCCAAGATGAAGACCAATAATAATAAAAAATTTTATGTTGCAGAATGTTTTTTTCTTTTTAGCTGCTTCTGATCTTAATGCTAAGAACAAAAAGAATATCATTTTTCAATTTAGTTAATAACTTTTATATTTTATCTATATTTGATTGGAACAAAAATTTGTTGCATATTTCAAGAGGTAGCATTTGAATATATGATTTTGATTTATACATTTTCTGAAAGGTGATATTTCAATGTCTTTTTATACAATTCATATGTGGATTGTGAATTTTGTGTTTTTTTTTGTGTGTTAAAAGAGAAAAATGGAGGAAAATGACACATTTTTGTTATTTTATTCTTTTATATCTGGAAAGGAAAAAAGCACTTTACAAAAAATAAAATATATATTCACAATGTGGCTCAATAAATACATATCCTTATGCAGCCAAGTTTTAATCTGAAATTTTCACCATATAATGTTAGATCTGTATGATCTAATAAGAAAAGGAGATTTCTATATTTCTGAGATTAGATATTGTTTACATTATTTACATTATTGTTGTCCTCATCTTTATTGCCCTATTAACAATGTTTCGGCCATTGCATGCTTTGGCCTTCATAGGTGATATTTCTTGTAATTTTGAACCAAACCCTTTATTTAATCCATGGAGGTAGATTGTTCTAGTTTCACATGGCATGCCTTTTGGATATCTCAATATTAGTTAATTCCCTTTGATAACTCTCCAAGTTTTTGCACTGCTGTGGCCTGGTATTGAACTCTTTGGGTGAAATCACTTTTGGATCAATGAACCAATGCCTTTAGCCAATGGGCCATGTCCAAGGAACAATCTCCCCCATGGACTAAATAAAGAATTTTGGTTTGAAATTCCAAGAAATATCACCTGAAGAAGGCTGGAGTGTACAATGACTAAAATGGCATGAACATGGCAATAAAGATGAGGACAGCAGTCCAAATAGTGTAAATAGGAGATTGTTGAAAAATGTTAAATAAATGCTTTTTTTTATTATTAGGCTACAAACTTATTGATTTACATATGTGTGTGTAAATATGGCTTTGCTTTGATGGTTCTACCCTCCTCCCTTTACACAAGTAGAAAATTTAAGAAAGTGTTTTTTAATAATTTTCCTTCTAACTAATAATTGTGAGATTCTCTTTGTTTGTATTGTAATGCTTTATTTTTTTTCCTCTGCTATGTCTCATATTAAAAATATGCTTAATTTAAAAGATATGTCAACATTTATAGACTTTTCAAAATCTTTGTAAAGACAAATTATTTTCATGATAAAAGCAGAAATAAAAAAAAATCACTTTGTAACAACAATTTTTATTGGGATTTTTAATGAATTGATTCATGGGATTGGCAATGTGTTTAAACAAAAGATCCTTATGGACGTTAACCAATTTTTAATTATAACAGATCTTCAGTCGGTTGCTTTTAATATTTGATTGAATTAATTAAAATTTAAATAAAATTGAATATAGAATGTGAAGTAGTTTTAATCATATGATTAAACTTCTTACAAAAGATACTGAAATAAAATTGGTTTATGACTTTATTTTAATAGTGGTGTTGATATTAAGGATGAGACAGGAAGTGTCTTTCCTTATTGGGTGGCAACCAGCTTCTGCCTCTTTTTTTTTTTTTTTTCTTTTTACTTTTTTCCCTTTTTTTCTTTTTTCAAATAAAAATTAATTTCTACAATTTTTGTATTGGTTTACAAAAAATCTTTTAAGGCATATTCCCTACATGAGACATAGCAAAATTTATTTAGCACAATTTATTTCATTTTTGCATGCCTATTATTTGAATAACCCCAAAACTTGCTGTGTGTTTAATTACATTTCAATTTGTTATTATCTGTTTTAATTAAATGATAATATAAGTAAGTATCATTACATAATAGCAACTTGACTGATTCATTTTCTGCAGACTTAATATGTTGGTAAAATATAGTGTGTAGATTATTTAGGACACAGGCGATGACATTAATTTGTTAAGAGTTTTAGATAATCTTCTTTATTATCTACAATTATTTAGATGAAGATTGTTTTCTGATAGTTTTCTATTATTCTCTCAACAAAATGTATGCCTTGTTAAGGCTAACTACAATAATAAAAATAGGTTTTTGAAATAACATCAATATGTTAAACAACTCAGTTCTTTGAAGCCAGCAGTCTGTCTTTATCTATTCATCTCATTGTAAGATCATTGAAATACACCAATTAGACTTCACTCTGGTTTCTGATTGTTGTTTTATTTGAAATACAACTTGGTGCGAGAGTGAGAAGTGGAACCAGGGATGATGTGCATTCTTCAAACAAGGAACTCAATTTGTTTGACAACCTTCAGTGAAGAGTAGCAGGATCTAAGTGACTTCTTCTGTTTCCACTTCCTACTCTGCCCAGATGCTCTCTACCCAAAACTATACAATGACAAATATACTGTAATCACATGATTATGTGCTTTGCTTTCATTAGACAATGTGTAAAATTGATGAATTTCATATTAACATCAAGAAACTTATGCGAGATATAATATATTAAAAAAACACTTTTCACACTTTAATGCACATTCAACCATAACATTCCTATATAAAAGAAAAATCCCATAATGGATAACTATTCACGTTTTAATGAATTGCTAAAGCATAACTATTAGCCATATCATGTAAAAGAAAATAATTCAGTAATGGACAGTTACACATAGTTTTTGCCTTAACAATTGCACCCCTGATGATGATCTCAGAAAGAGATGGAAAGTAATTGAGTAATAAGCGATTCTCACTGTTACAGTGCATTTCATAACCTTAGTTAATTGTAATATACAAAAAATATCTGTGAATATGAAAGGATTATGATCAAAATAAACAGACATAATGTTTGTAACTTATTCAGACATGTCTGAAAGAGAATTTGCTGCCTAAACACACTAAATATATATATATATATATATATATATATATATATATAATTAAGTTATGAAGAACTTGGTAATCCCAAGAGCTAATATTTAAAAGATATATAAGCAATTTCTAAAGAATTACCTGATTTTTTTATTTTTTTAATCAGACATTTTTGTTACTTCAAACATTATTTTTAGTGGAAACACATATTTGAGTAGAAATTACATTTACTTTGAACAGTATTTATTTTGTCTACTTACTGGTTTGCATACTCAAGGAAACTTAAAGAAAATGAATTTCTAATGAAAGGGATGGATTTTTTATTTATTAATCCAACAGACTTTTATTACTTAAACGTTACTTTTATGTTAGGAAACAAAACTTAGCAGATATATCTATTTCAAGAGTCAGAGAATAATCTGTGTTTAAAGGCACTGTTCAATTTTACTTGATCATCATACCACTCTGTAGCCAAGAGGTCTAAAACACTTTTCCTCTAGACCAGCACTTCTTAAACTATGCATTGCGACTACAAACAGGGTTGTGAAGTGAAATGCTGGTGGTCACGAAAATTAAATTCAAACACTTGAATTTCAGTTTATATGTTATTTCACAAACGCACAATATTTAATGTGCTGCGCCACAATGAAAAAAATGCATGTGCGGCACAGTTGTAACTAGTGCAGTGTAGTTGGTTAATACCTGGTGTCATGAAAAATCTTGTGATGAAAAATGGGCTCATGAATGAAAAATGTTTAAGAAGCACTGCTTTAGAGGAATGCAGGTTCAATCCTGCCAGAGAGTGCATATTTTTCTTTAATAAGATTTCTTGAATATTCAGGCCAGTAGACAAAAATAAATGTACTGTTTAATAAATAGAGTGTCTAGTCAAATATGAGTGTCCACTAAACAATAAAATTTAAGTAATAAAAGAAAATGAATAAATAAGAAATAAAGAAAAACATGCCCAAGGCCTCATGTTTCTTTATTAAGTTTTCTTGATTATGCGTATTAGTAGATGAAATACATACTGTTCAAAATAAATGGAGCTTCTACTACTTAAATACTGGTTTCCCATTGGACCAACTGAGGATAAGTGAAATCTCACATCCCATCAATACGGTTCTGCTGTACAACAAATGCTATACTACATAAATGGTTAAAAAAAAAACAACTACAAATATTAGAAGCATTAACCATAAAAGACAAGCAATCAAATATCAATAAAGTTTCATTCACTTTAGGTACTGTTATATCCCACATTGATGAACAAAAATGAATGAAAATAAGACAAGTGTATTTTAACACATAATAAGATAACATTTATTCATTTACTGCCTTAGAACAGCAAGGATAAGTTTGAATTCAGACCATGAATTCCATGGGTGTGTCAGCTTGTCACCATGTTGAAATCAGAAGTGCCCACTCTGACTAGTGAACAAGGGAAGTAACTCAATTGTATTTTGAGTTATTGTCCTTTATAGGGGGAGTAACTTAACATCCCCTAACAGTAGCAAAACATTAAATATATTTCACAATAAAAAAAATTAAAGTGATGAAATTTCTAAAACCAAAGAAATACAATGCACACCTGTAAACACAATCCTATCAACACATACACAATTCTATGCGAGGGATTCGGAAAATCCTCAGCAAGAAACCTACCCATCAAAAATAAATGAAGAATGTTTAATAAATTCTTGTACTGTTATTTCAGGAACATGTACCAGATGAGTTCCAGCCAATGAATCCTCGTTTATACAAGGTTGGATTAGGAAGGGGTTATTTGGAACTTCCACAAGGTAAGCAGATCTACCTTTTTCTCTCTCTCTCTCTCTCTCTCTCCTAAATGTGTACTTACATTTATGTGTTTATATGCAAACTAGTATACTCCTGCTATCATGGCATATATGAAATTCATGTTTTGTTTAGTTCTTACTAGGATTAGGTTTTTGTATCCAGGTTTGCAGATAGGTAAGGGTTTAGTGGCATGGAACTGAGTTCAATTTCTATTTATGATCATTACATTCACTTTCACACAAATACCCTTGGAAAATGTATAAATCCAACCAGCCTGAGAAATACAATTTTGAATTCAAAACCTTTTGTAGCCCTAGCAAAGCACATGCCATTGAAAAGATTATGGAATTCACAATTAACTGCTATAATCACTGAAGTTAAGCAATATCAGTCCTGGTCAATACCTAGATGGGTGACCACTTGGAAATACCAGGTTCTGTAAGCTTGAACATGTGGGTGGTGTAATGGATAATGGCTTAGAATTGTTAATCTGTGAGCCAAGTTCCAATTCCAGTTGGGTTTTTTTTATATTCATTTACGCATAAATACTCTTGGGAAAGATATGAATCCCCTTCTTCTCTTCCAGCTATGGGTTAATTAGTAAGACTTGAATAACTTGTTATGGAGTGGTTTCACAGTGTAGGCTTGTATTTGTACTGTCGATCCTAAAATAGGTTCATTATACAAAACGTTAGGAACTTGATATAATAGGTAATGACACAGGGAAATCTAGTTGTGGTCGCTGATATTTTAGTATTCGACTAACTGTCGGAACCACTGAGCGACCCCCTCGTTACTCTAACTACTCCTACTTATTATAGGTGGGAGAGTCTATTAACTATAGAATAGGTGTGTTCCACTATAACATAACTAAACCATTATTTCCTCCTCCCCCAAAAAATTGCATTCAAAATATTTAGATTTCAGCATTAAATAATCCCTAGAGGTGTTGATAAGCTGTTAAACAAAAACAACTGTGGTGTGGGGTGGTGAACTTTTATCAACTCAACTTTAGTCTTTGATGGATGTAGGTAGGTAGATATCTGAGTCTATAAGTTTGTTTTTTTTTTTTTTTTTTTGTTTTGTTTTTTTTTCTATTATTGTTGTGCTCTGCTCTTACTTTTTTTTTTTTTTTTTTACACAATTTTGTAAATATCTTGAAACAATCAACCATTTTTATATTAAAGAGAACCAGAGAAAATAAGATAACTCTAGTATAACCATAAGTTACATATGATACAGACAAAAAAATATGTGAATACACTTGACACATTTTATACGGCCATTGGTATCTGCATGAAATAAACAACCATCTTGGATACACTTCTATATGTAGTGTCCCTTCAGGCAATGGTTCTCCATAACTAACTCTTCTTCTGTAAGCCTATGACAGGAACTTCCTAAATTTCAGCCAACTTGATCCTATATATACATACATACATACATACATACATAGACATGTTTTTTTTTGTTTTTTTTGCTGAGCCAGGACTGATATTAATCTCACACAAAGGATTTGTCATAATGATTTGAGGCAAGGTTTTACAAGGCTGGATGCTTTTCCTGCCACCCTGCTCCAACATTAACAGTAGTCCAAGTACCCAAGTGTTTTTATCAAGATACCATCTTTAGGAAGTTTGTTATTCAAGGCTTGAGACTCCATCCTCGTTTTTTTTTTTTTTTTATCGAATTCACCACATGCAAGGCAGTAAAACCACGAAGAGAGAAGGGGTTATTGGGTGTCAAAGAATTAGAACTAGAATCATTATTAAGGAGCAAGACAATAGAAGAGTAATCAGGAAAACAGCAGATAATGATTGACATTGCATTTAAATTTTGGAAGATCAAAGTTGGCCAGAAAGCATGAAGCCATTAGAGTATTCCACAAGTGAGAAGTGCAAGAAAAGAAACTGTTAGCATAGAACTTACTGTTATATCTAGCCAAATCAACTGTAATTTGATGAGACCTTGTTGCCAATCTAGTATTTTGCTTAAATACACACACACACACACACACACGCGCGCGCGCACATGTTGGTCATTGATTCCTATGAGAAGCTCATCTGCCCTTTGACAAGTCTTGTTTTGTGTCCTGTGGGATACATGCCACTCACCTTATCAGCAGAAAAGCTAATGGGAGAGAAGGTTTAGATGCCAACTACCCTAAAAGATTTTATTTAGTTAGCTATTTTATTACATTTTTTTGTCTTTTTCTCATCTATTGGGTGGTTCTGAAGGTTTCTCTCATAAATTTTACTGTCTATGCAATCATGAAAATTGTCTCATTTCAGGCTCAGGTAATGAAATCATTGACCCACCCACTTCATTGGTTTTTCTCAGTTACTTGTATAGGGACACATTGTATCATGAAAGTCTTAATTTTGACTGTAAAGATTTATCTATAAATTCAAAGCACCACATGAATTTCTTTCTCATTGAATATTTAAGGTAAATATGTACCTAGTTATTTTCTCACACTTCTTGCTTCCCAGTCAACTTTGATCTTCAAAAATTTAAATGCATTATCAATCATCTTCTGTCTTAATTCCTGTTCTTTTATTGTTCTTTCTCCTTAATAGCATTTTTTCCTTTCCTATTCTCTAACACTCAGTAACCCCTTGCGTCTTAGTGGCTTTATTGCTTTGCTTGGCGTGAAATGATTAAAAAAAAAAAAAAATGAATTTCATATTTGATTATAGAAGAAGAAAAATACAGACTATTTATAATTCTGGCTTTAGCTTGAGGAACTGAAATTACATGCAGTTGTTATATCAGAAATATTTTTAGAGAAATATTTAAGTTATGTTTGTGTTTGTTTGGCTAGTTCAAGTTGAACTGTTATACAATGTTCACACATCAATGAAAGTGGGACAGTTTCAAAAAAAAAAAAAAAAATAGATTATGAGGCAATATTGGATGTGGTTTTTTGTGTTTAATAAATATTGAAAAAAGAACCCATAGAGTATAACGTTTTGTGAGGAATTGCAAGAGAAACTACAAAGAAATTATTGTAGAAAATCTGATTTGGTTAATTTTATTTACTGGCATATTAATTTCTATGGGTTATTTAATGCCAAAATCTAAATATTTTGGACACAATTCTACACTTTCAACTACAAATATTTTGTACATAGTTTTATACTTTCAGAGTAAAGGTATGTTTTTTTTTTTATATAGTTTATAGATCATAAAATGTATTTTTGGTAATTTTACTATAAAAATGTATTTTTTTTTAGTGTTGCATTGATTGACATTTTGCTATAAGAATGTTTGCTGCTCATTTTATTATAAAAATGTACTGTTGATTTTTGTTTGGGGGTTTGTCCATAAAACACCTACAGGTGCTTGTATCCTGGGTCAGGGTTTTTTGTTCTCGTTGAAAAAAATTAAGAGGTGGTTTCACGCTCCTCAAAACCTCCAACCTTCCAATCAGAGGCCTTGCTGCTGGATGTAATTCAAAATCCTACCCAGGACAACAGAAAATCTGAAAGTGACAGCTGAAATTCTTGAGAGATAGAAAAAAGAAGGCTTAGAGAATTTACCACTCACAGGACATATTGAAAGCAAAAGAAGCAGGGGAAAACAGCAAGTAATCTACTTGGCAAATTTCTGCAAATGGACAGAGGAACATGCCTCACAAAGAGAAAATCATGGTTCACTATGTTGTGTTAGACAGTTTTTCTCTCCAGAGATTAACTTAATATCTATAAGTCTACTATTCACCCATGCTTAAAATATTGCTAAGTCTGGTGCTCCTGCTTGCTATCTAGAGCTCCTTGATAAAGTCCAAAGAAGAATTGGCAATATTATTGGCCTGATCTGGCATGACAGTTTCAGTCACTTTTCCACTGTTGTAAGGTTACCTCCCTTTGCCTTTTTTATTAATACTTTCATGGTAATTGTTTGGATGAATTCTTTGTTATGATTGGGTTTTTTTAACAGTAAGGTTTACCCAATACAAGTCCTGGGGTTCACTAGAGGTAGATGGTTATATTAAGGGATAGTTTATATGGATAGGAGGGGAAGATAAACAGGTTAAGATTGTAGTGATCAGGGAAACATCCTCTTGGGAGTTTGTTCCATAGAGCTATAGTGCCTAGACTCTTTGAATTTACACACACTACTAGGCTGGTGAGGTCTCATCAATTTACAGTTGAGCTGGCTAAATGTAGCCATAAATTCTATGCTAATAGTTTCTTTTCTCACACTTCTTGATTGTGAAATTCCCTTCCAGTTACATGTTTTCCAGCTGACTTTAATGTTAAATTTAAATGTCAATCAAATATCTACTGTCCTCCTGATTACTCTTCCTCTGTTCTTATCCTTAATTATGTTCCTGTTTTTATAACTCATCCACATTAGAAGTAAAAAAGTTTATCTCTGTGGCTTTACTGCCTTGCTTGAGATGAACACACAACAAAAAAAATGAACATATGGGCATATATAGATACAATAATGAAAATATATATAAATTCTATATTCTTTCTTGTTTTGGTTTTGAAAAACGAGATCTTTCTTAATATTCTGTCCATATCTGCTGTAGGCTCTCTTGTGGCTTACCAGTTCAGTATTGAACAGGCTGATCCAATTGACAGTGGAAAAGGTTTATTTGATATATATGTACCATATTTGGTTTTTTTTAAAATTGACCATTCCTGTTATAGTGATTTCTTCAGAGAGTTTTGTATCTTTTTGGAGCTACCTCACAGTCACCTTGTCTAGTGGAGAGCTCATCATGCAGTAGAATTTTGAGCCAGTGTTAATCATCTTCAGCAGTATGATAGACAAAAATTAAGATTTTGATAGCATTTGCAGAGAAATAAATAAAATTTACTCATAAGGTCTTTTTTTTTTTTCTTTTCTTTTAATATTGGGTTTTAGCTTGATTAAAATGCAAAGAGAAATTCTCAGTTACTCTCAAGTTTTAATGAAGAGACTTGGTAGAAATTATTGACCTTTTGACCATTTTTTTTCTCTTTTCACAGTGGATATCCCTCATAATAAACTTGAGCAAAAATTACTGGACACCAAGTGTGTATACATCCTGGACTGTAACTCTGATCTGTTTGTTTGGTAAGTATCAATGTTTATATTTTGATCTGTATGAGGAGTTATGGAAAAATTCTCAGGCCAGAAACTTTTCAACATTTCCTCATATACATATCTATATTTCTGAAATGAGGTATTGTAACTATTTACATGATTTGGGCTATTTGTCCTCATCTTTATTGCCATATTCATGATGTTTCAGCTGCTTTGCACTCTGATCTGCTTCAGGTGATATACATTGAAATTTAAAACTGAACCGTTTTAGTCCATGAGGGTAGATTGTTCTAATTAATTCCACGTACCATGCCTTATTTGGATATCTCTGTATCAGTTAATTCCCTTTAGTAACTTCAAGTTTTTTTGTTTCCTCTGCTGTGAGATATCCAAAAAAATATATAGCATATTAAATTAGTGTATAGAAGTATATAATTCAAAATATCAAAACCTCTCATTCCCCCAAAAATTTCTGATGAAACTAAAATAAAATAGTGAAATTTTAAATTGCAATATTACAGATGTAACTAAAAATATATCTGTAAAAGGATAATATAAATAAAGACAAAAGGATAACTTATCTTAATCAACACATTTCATCCTCAGTTTTTGAAATTTAAGAAATGCTCATAAATATTCATTAGGCTAACTGAAAAGTCTGGATAACTTATGGCAGATGCTAAGTGTAAGGTAATTTAATATCTAATAAACAAAAGTGAGTAAATTGTTGAAATTTTTTTTTTTTTTTTTTTTTATAATGTAATTAATATTTATATTATTTTATTTTGGGATTAATTTATGTATTATATATCTCAAATAGTAACATTTTTACTTTTGTTTATAAATAATTGTTGCAAAATAAGATCCTTAGAATTGCCCATCCCAGGTATGACAATAAACTACATCCGCGTCCAGGGTAAGACAATAAACTACGTCCAATAGCAAGGCCTCTAATCAGAAGGTTTTGAGGAGTGTGGAACCACCTTTTAATTGCTGGTGGACTCTATCCTCCACCCTGATCCAGGGTTGGTAGCATTTCTATTAATTTCCCAGCTATGGGCAAATAGTTAACTCCGAAACTGAGGCAAAAAGCATTATGAAAGTGTAAAAATAGGTTTTAATACCAGAAATACTTTCTAAAAAATTATTACAAGAAAAAAATTTTTGAAGAAGAAAAACTTATCAGCAACACGTTTTTAAAAAAAAAATATTACCAGAAATAGATTTTTGACAAAACAAAAATATTACCAGGAAAAATAAGTAATCAGCATTAAATGACCCATTGAGGTTGATATGCCATAAACCAAACCTTAGAATTGCCTTCATAAAGTCCATCAGAGTACAAAAACATGTCAGAAATAATTTTTTTAAATAAAAATCTCTATATATATATATATATATATATATATATTTATAATTTAAACTGCAGAAACAGAACATGTCCACTCAGGAAATTGCCAAATTACGAACACAATATACAAGGCCAAGGTAAGTACAAACAACAACACTATGCATTACATCGGTGCCACCGAAGGTCCATTCAAGATGAGGAATAACAATCACAACCTTTCATTCAACAACAGGAAATATTCGAACAGCACAACATTTCTACATACATATGGCAGCAAAAAGACAAAAATATCACACCAACAATAAGTTGGGAAATATTGAAAAAAGCCCCTGCCTACAACAACATTACGAAAAAAAATGCCTACTTTTTTTATTACACGAAAAAGTAGCAATAATATCACACAAACCGCAAAAAAACTTGCTAAACAAAAATCAGAGATAATCTCCAAATGTAGACATGAGAACAAATATATATATTATCCGAATTCATACCAAATGGATAAAACAGACAAACCACCAATAATCACAATTTAATTTCAAGATACCATCAAAATAATTGCATATATCATTATTATAATTGCACCACCATTAGTAATCACTTTTACCACTTTACAATAAACCTATTAACTATCAATATTATCATTACCACCAACACACAGCACCATCACTTACATCACATTTACTATTAACATATAATCCACTACAATCTTTATTACTCCCCAGCATATTTAATACCTTAAAACAATATGATCAGATATAATTTCCATATATAACCATGAGAACAAACACCTATTACCAGGCAGCTTTAATATAATAACAATAATAATTTTAATTAAATTAAAAATTATAGCAATCTTCAACTACCATAATTTTACACAGAATACCTATTATCAGGATTTATACCAAAATAAATTAATACATATAACAAAATAAAACAAAAATAAAATAAAACACCAACAACCACTTTTACGTTCAAGCTACCACCACTATAACTACATTCATGGTTTTATCATTCTCCCACCACCATTACTAATCATTTCTACCAATTTGCAATTTCTTCCAATTTACAATAACTATTAGCTAAATAGCATTGTCTCCAATCCCTTGAAACATTACTATCACATCATATCATATAGACCCATTATTAAATTGAACCACCCTCTCACCCAGTATATTAAACATCACCATATAAATTAAACAATAAGAATTACAAAATTTTACCTGTTACATATACACAGTCACCAAAAACAAACAAATAACCAGCTTTAAATATAACAAATAAACCCCCATTTTTTTCAAAAATTTAAAAATAAATATAAATAATTATAATAATTTTTACCTATCATAATTTTACACAAACCCCACCACACGTATATACATACATGCGAGGAAATATTTTTCAGCGGAAAAAAAAAAAAAATTTCATATTATGACATGGATACATTCACGAGACATTAACGAGACATTTCCGCCACACTTCCAATGTTTAAATTTCAACATTTCAACATACAAATGCGTATGTATAGACATAACACCACCCGTATACATACATGTGTCATAGCCGAAACTGCCCACATATGTTTATATATGTATGAGTCCCGACGGACGACCAAGTATGTATATGTGTCTGCATACATCGATGTTTGCGTTAGTACGATGAATGACAAAACGACGAAATTTCCCCCACCACTTCCACAATAACACCAATACACACAATCTACATAAACCCAAATTTTTTAAAATATTAATCAGTTTGTCTGACGATTGCTAAAGCGTGAAACCCAGGGTCACAAACTCACATCTATCCAACCAAATATGTTAGCTCTATCTCTGATATTGAGCGCTTTCTAATAAGTACCGCGCATATAATATATAAATAATTATACATATATATATTTATTTATATTTATATACACTTTCATATATATATATATATATATATATATATATATATATATAAAATATAGAGAGAGAGAGAATTTTAATTAGTTACAAATTGTTGTATCATTGAGGTGAATGAAACACAGAGAAGAATGAGTGCTTAATATATTTATTCAGCACCAGTATCCAGTGCTAATGGATACATACAAAAAAAAAATAAACAGAACAATAAGTTACAAACAATTAATAAGACAACTTACAAGAAATAGAGGAGGATCAAATGCTGTATAGCCAAACAAAGTAAGATCAGTCTGAATATTAATCAACTTACTATCAACTTATTAATCAACTGCTGAAGTCCTTAATCCTAGACTATTTAAAGCTATGAGCCAGGCATCTGGTAGAGTGCTGAAGGGTACTCTACAACACAAATTCACCAAATTTATCATTAAGCTTAATTATTAATATTGTCACTGAAATACCACTATGGCTGATGAAGGAGAGGGCAGATAGTTAAAGGATTCTTCCCTGCTTTATTCATCTTAGTCATTTCCTTTCCTTTTTTTTTATTTAATTTTTTTTAAACTTGAATTATCTTCCCTAAAAAGGAAACAAAAAAGATTTTTTTCTTTTTTTTTTTTTCTCAGTTCATATATTAATTAAAATCTACTTTGAAACTAGTCTCTTATTTGGAGTGAACTTTACTTTATTCTTCAAGTCAACCTTGATCTTCAAAAATTTAAATGCAATGTCTCTTGTTATCTTCTGTCTTAATTGTTGTTCTTTTATTGTCCTCTCTCTTTAATAGTATATTTTTCTCATATTCTCTAACACTCATTAACCCCTTGTGTCTTAATGGTTTTATTGCCTTGCTTGGCGTGAAATGATTTTTTAAAAAAATGTCAGAGCTTTTAAAAACAGTATTGTGTTAATAAAAGTTGTGCTATGATGTGTTGTTATTGCCGTGTTATGGTAATAACGATACAAATAGGATCATTATTATATATATATATATATATAAAAATATGTCTTTAATAAATAAATTGTCGGACCTTGTCCATTTCTTAATATATATATATATATATATATATATATATATTTTTACTTAATTTAATGAATTCTTTTTTGTTTTATTCTTTCATGGAAAAAAAAAGTGATAATATTTTCTTTTGTTTCTCACACTTATTATTTAGGATTGGAAAAAAATCCACACGTCTTGTGCGAGCAGCAGCCCTGAAGTTGTCACAGGAAGTGTGTAGCATGCTCAAACGACCAGAGTATGTGACAGTCACAAGGTGTCTAGAAGGGTAAGCTAGATTTTGTGCAAAATTCAACAATATATTGTTTAGAATAACATTTATGTTTCAACACCACTCCTATAACTAAGACCTCATCAGAGTTGGTTGATAAACAAGGATGTGCAGATGGTGTAATGGATAGTGGCACAGAATTAGAAAGAGAGCTGAGTTTAAATTCCAGTTGGTGTGTCACATTCACTTATGCACAGATATCCATGGAGAAAGTATAAATCTACCTCTTCTCCTCCAGTTATGGGTTAAATAGTAGGACTGAAAACAAATCTTTGTTACTTTCAAAAAATTATTAATGCAACATTCACTTTCCAAAAAAAAAAATAAAAAAGAATTATTCTTACAATTCAAAATATGTTTCAATTTTAAATAACCCATAAATAAAGCAATGATTGATATGCAAAGTCTCCTACTGTGTGGTGTCTCTAATAGATATATGTAAACTTGAATTCAGTAGAATTGTTAGTTTGCTATGTGACATCATTAAGTAATAACTTCCTCATGACTATAAAAAAAAAAAAAAACAACAAACATTTTTAAAAAGTATATATTCAAATTTATTAATAATGAGTGGGGGGAGGTAGGAAAAGAAAAATATATTAGTAACCCTAAAGTGGTCAAGCAAAAAATATATAAAAAAACAACAGCAAAATAGAACCTAACCTGTAATTGCTCCTCACTCTTCAAAGCTCAATCAAGGACAAAACAAATATATGTACAGTGGTCAAAATATCAAAGAAGGAAAAAATATTAGCAAAGAATCAGTATTATGACTCACAGACATATTATATTAAGACCCAGCAGCCATTCCTTCTATTTACAGAGAGAAGGTTGCTTAGACTTAATATACTGGGTCTTGAGTGCTTTCAAATGAATTTGCTCTGCTGATGAGACAAAAAACATATCTGGTAACCAGTTAGCAAAAATAAATCTATTCAAATATTTCCATCACCCTAAACAAGTCTTCAAATAATAGGATATTAAAGGAGACCAATGCAACAAGAAAAAGGTTTAAGTTACATAGATTTAGGGATGATAAAAATCAAGAGCTAAATTAATTTGCAAAAAAAACCAGTAATTACTATGGAATTATAGGAAATGGTAAAAAAAGATGACTAATTTAAAATGTATCTAAATTAAAGGTGGGGATAGACAAAGGGGAAATAAAACAATAGATATACTCTATCATGGCAACAGAACAAGTGTATTTAAAATGTACTGTCTAAGGAAATGCCAGGATGTCTCTAAAAAGCCTTGCCTACAATACTGATAACATTTAGTTCTAGATAATAACCAAGACTGTCAAAAGTAGGGAAAAAATGACAAAAATACAAACATTGGAAAGCTTATCCATAATTTTCATCTGCATATGCACGTTTATTTGAACATTAGAAAAATACAATTAAAAAAATGAAACATTCAGACCTTGTTGTTTAAATTTAATACATCTTGTTTAAATAAATTCAAGACCAGATTCAATAAATTCTAAGAAAATCCATGCCATCACTCTACTTAGGGGCAATCATATTGGTAATCCAAATTTTTGTTCATAAAAATTAGTGTTAAATTGGAAATAGCATTGATTGGTGTTTGGTCCTTCCCAAAATATTTTCCCTAAACAATCAACATACACTGATATATTGACAATTGTCTATTAATATATCCTTGTGGTACTAATTTACCTGATCATGTAGATAAACTAAACAGAGTTGAACATACAATAAAATTTACATTTTTTACAATTTTCATGCTACACCATGTTCTACAGTAGCTTAAAATTTAAGTGTCCACCAAAAATCATCTAATAAAAATGACCTCATAAATTTCTATTTTCATCATAACAACGATATAAAATCCAGACTAATCATCGGATTCCATTTAAGAGCAATCAGAATTTGTAGTCCTCAGTATTTACACAAAGAAAAGAAATACATTGAAGCTCCTCCCATACCCTATTTCATATTCAATATGCATCAAGAGGCTCATAAAATATTTCACAATAGAAAAGCAATCATTCCTGATAAACCAACAAAATCAAAATATACTATTCTACCTACCAACTCTATCACAACTAGAATTGAAAAAAATTATCTTTGCTTAACATAAAATTTACTACTTCTGAAACAATAAAATACTTAATATAAACAAAATCATAAACTAAAACTTGAAAGGGGGAATTTACTCTATCACCTGTAATAATTTCCACAAAGAATACATCAGAGAAACCTCTAAGAATTTAAATAAATAATTATATGAACACAAAAGGGATCTTTTACAAAAAAACATATTAAATGTATTAGCTACTCACTGTAACAAGAGTGATCACAATCTTGATTTAAAAAAAATGCTAATCTAATTAAGAGAAAACAAATTACTAGGATGAAAAATGCTTTGTTAGTAAATTTGCATCCAGGTTCTTACAATGTTTCACCTTTCTTGGCTGATCTTCTGTTATCACAATGTGGAATATTTAATAACAAAAATGATAAAAAGAAAAAGGATCTAAATGAAATTGGCTAGATTATATAGCAAAAACATACATTTAAAAACAAAATTATTTTAAATTTAAAAATTATTTAAATTTTAAATTCTGCGCATATGTAATCACATCAATATAAGCATAAATTTAGCGTGATGAAGTCCTATAACACAAAATGTGTCACATGAAAATTTTTCCACTTAGTAATGTGTGTGTGTGTGTGTGTGTGTGTGTGTATATATATATGCACACTGGACTCTCTTGTCATTTTTGACATATGAGGGTCAAGCAGCTCAGTTCTTAGAACCAACAGCCAGGCTACCTGCACATATCTGTTGATTAGTGGTGAAGTCTTGTGCAGAACCAGTCACATGATAGCCTTGGGTGTCAACCAGTCTAGGAGAAGGCCAACTCCAAATTCAAAACCTGTGGAGAGTCATTTGGGGACCTTGTGGCATATTGTGTACCAGTTCCCTCTGTGTGTGTGTGTGTGTGATTGTGTGTATATATATATGGTGGTACTTGTTTGGAAAAACCTCGGATAGCACAACTTGCAGTAGAATAAATCAGTACCCGAGGAAAAATGGGGAATGAAAAAAGAAAGAACCAAGAACATTAAAACAAAGCGAAAACAATTGTCCAGTGTTTACACTCCAAGTTCAAAGAAAAAAAAACCCCAAAACTAGTAAAAAGACAACTGCATAAAAGTGCTCAATACACTAAGTAGAGCAAACCTAAGATAATCCTAAAGAGCCAGGCAAACCTACCTAGGTTTTACCTAAACAGATCTTCAGGGTACTGCCTTTATATATATATATATATATATATATATATATATATATATATATATATATATATATATAAAAGTTTCAGACACTGATATACCATGGTTATAACTTATTACATTGGAATCGTAATCACGATCCAGTTCATCAGACCTACAAAATCAAAAGGAATATTAGTGTTTGAGCCTTTTATATTATATTCTTGGACATTGAGTTCTACTTGAATTCTATCCTCTTGAAAATTTTATTTATATATATATATAAATTTATAACATTTATGTTATAATTTTCGAATAAATAATTATATTTGCTCTACTCTGTATTGAGCACTCTTTCAAGAATAGTATTTTTTTTGTTATTGAATTTATTCCATATACACCAATCCTATACTTGGGGGGGAAATATATATATATATATATATATATATATATATATATATATATATATATATATAAACGGATATAGGGAAGAGAATACCAAATGAATATTCTTTGAAAATGTAAGACTTCTGAAGCAAATTAGAGTATATGGATTCTCAAATGTTGTAAAGACAACAAAAAACAAGGAATGGAGCCTGAATGATCGTATGGAAGATAAATATTCCAGAATTTGGAGGTTGAACCAAAGTTGGCCCTGTGTAATTCTATTATTTTTCTCTCTTGCCATTCTTTAAGCCTTTCTTTGTCTATCCACCAATCCAGTGATCTCATTACGCTGATCAATCATGCAAAATTAACCATAGAGAATGATGTTGCTGTCTTTGTCTTCTTGCAGTACTGAACCGCAGATATTCAAAACCAAATTCATTGGCTGGGATGATGTCATTGCAGTTGACTATACAAGATCTGCAGAATCTGTTATTCGAAGAGGTGCTGATATGAAGGTAAGACTTTCTTTAAACATTTTTCTTATTATTGACATGATAACTTGATGTGGCTTGCCTTTTGCAATGTCCTTTCAAAAATTCAAATAACTTGCACAAAACATATTGTATTAATTATACAAACATACAATAATAATAACTGTATCAATCCCTCAAATGTTCAAACTGTTTGTCCCCATCATTCACATGCCTCCTCTTTACCTACAAAACATTTATTATTATTATTTATTAAAAAGTAAAAATTATAATAAATGTATTATGATAAAAAATATGAAAATAAAAATATTATAAATGATTTAATGAATTAATTGAATTCTGGTATTAAATGGCGCTTTAAACACTATTATAATTACTGTATACCTACTTTTACAATCCCTGTATAATACGATTAATGGAGTGCTAGGCAAGAAGGAATATTTCCAGTTTGAATTTCCCATTATAAACATTAGTATCTGATTTGGGGTAGATGGAGTGCAACAGCCCAGAAAGCAGTCTCAGGAAAGAAAAACCCTGATTTTAAGCCTCCACCGCCTTGTGGGCATATCCAAACACAGAAATAGCTATGGAAGTAAATCCAAACAAAAAACCCTGAGTGGAGCCCCGAAGATGGTTAGCTGTCAACACTTTCTGGCAATTCCTGCATCAAAACAGGCCTTAAATATAAAGCGTTGTACTCCTTTGGATCTTGTTGGCACAGTCAAGAGGAGGTAATGTAGACTGAGTAGTGCACAGCCTCCATATAACATCACACAGACCTGCACCTTAAAGAGGTTGTCCCAGTTTCGATACCAGAGGACTGAATTTTGACTAAGCAAGGTGCTATTTTTATTTCACAAGATAACAAATGCCTACACTTATCTGTGATATAGTAACACCTTAATATACAGACAGAACAGAATAGCTGCAAGAAAGGAATGTAAAATATCCATTGTTCTCAAAGAGATTTTTTTATACCGATATATACATACTTGTCACTAATTTGTCTAACACAGAAATTATAACATATGTATACAACATGAATAGTAAAAGGGGGTGAAAAGCCAGAGAGTCTTACTTGTAATATTTCCCAAAGGAAAAATGAGCAGGCCATTAGTCTCCTTTATGCACCAAATGAGACAATGTGGTTTCCTCTGCTCTTTTAACTGTTCTGTGCAGGCATGTCTTGCTTCTCTGCTGTCTACATAGTAACCGGCGTGAGCAGACACGTCTTGCCTCAGGACATGCTAAATAGCAACTGGTGTTTGTCCTCACTGGCCATCCTGTAACCCATTGTGAAGTCATCTTTCTCAAAGGGAGATAATCGTTCGTTTCATCCCTACATTAAAGCAAATAATAAATTTTATAAATTTTTTATTCGACATAAGTGTATTGGTATAAATGTATGGGAGGAAATTTTACAGTGATAGGTACAGAAGTAAGTTGCTCTATTGTAGTAAACTACCACAGAGGGCAAAAAGGCCCGGGGTTGCATGTATTTTTTTTTTTTTTTTGCAGCACTAGAATAAAAGCAAAAATTAACTTACTTATTTGAACATGTCTCGTGGTGTAAACTGTCAAACAGAGATAGAAATGGTAGTTTCGCGTGTCATATATTGAAAATAAATCTAAATTACTCTCCTGCGAGATTATTTTTGAGCATATGCAAATTTTGGCTGTCATTGATACATAAAAATGGAAAGAACAAGGCAATGATGTAGTGAGTTAAAAAAAAATGTTGACTGCTATATTGAACTGGCTACAAGTGTTGGAGACAAGAGAGAAAAAACTGATTGCCAGCATTAATTGCTACAATAAGCTTAAAGTTTTTTAGTTTGTGTTTTTTGTTTTTTTTTTTGTCCTGAAAATAAACAATTCCTTGTGTATTGGTTGATTTCTGTATGTATTAAGAAAATAATGAGTAGAAACTGTTTCCTAATTAGTTAAAACTAGTTAATTTTTAAGTTGTATATACTTATACTATATCACTACTCAGAAAGACAGTGTCAAATGATATGGTATATAAAATTCCAGAAAAAAATATTATACAGCATTTGATTGTGGACAAGAAAAAATATCAGGTAAGAAAAAGTAAAAAGCATCCATACTATGAAAAGGAGAAACATTTTTCTGAGTTGTCATTAGGTTTACAGGTTGATTTATTTATCTTCATCTTTAACATCTATCTATATTTCTGAGATGAGGTATTGTAACTATTTACACTATTCAGACTGTTGTCCTCATCTTTGTTGCCATATTCACAATGTTTAGACCGTTGTACACTCCGGCCTTCTTCTATATCTGTCTATATTTCTGAGATGAGGCATTTTAATTATTTACGCTATTTACATTGTTCGGGCTGTTGCTCTCATCTTCGTTGCCATATTCACGCTGTTTCAGCAGTTGTACACACCAGCCTTCTTCTATATCTGTCTATATTTCTGATATGAGGTCATGTAATTATTTGAACTATTTACATTGTTCAGACTGTTGTCTTCATCTTCATTGCCATATTCATGACGTTTAGACCGTTGTAGGCTCCAGCCTTTTTCTATATCTGTCTATATTTCTGGGATGAGGTATTGTAATTATTTACACTATTTACATTGTTCGGACTGTTGTCTTCATCTGTTAATTCCCTTTAGTAACTCAATTGTCCAAGTTTTTTGTTCACCTAGGTTTATAAGTCTTAAAAATAAGAAAAATTCTTGAATTAAAATCCATTACCTCAATTACTTTGTTTATTATTTACACTATTTACATTGTTTGAACTGTTGTCCTTATCTTTATTGTTATATTCATGATATTTCAGCCGTTGTGCACTCCAGTCTTCTTCAGGTGATATATATTGGAATTTCAAACCGAACCCTTTATTTCATCCACTGGGGTAGATTGTTCTAGTTCCACATGCCATGCCTTTTCTGAATATCTCAGTTTCTGTTAATTCTCTTTAGTAACTCTCTCAGTTTTTTTGTTCACCTTTGCTGTGACCATTGAACTCACAACTCTTTCATCACTGAACCAATGCTTTTATCCACTGGGCCATGAAGAAGGCCGGAGTATACAATGACTGAAACATATGATAATAAAGATGAGGACAACAGCCCGAAAAATGTAAATAGTGTAAATAGACTTCATCTTTATTGTTGTGTTCTCCAGCCTTCATCAGGTGTATATCAATCTGGATAACCTACAGGGAATTCTGAACTGAACCCTTTATTTAATCTATAGGGATAGACTGTTCTTGTTCCACTGCCCATGTCTAGGAATATCTCATCTAGTACTGCTTAGTTATTGATTGCCCTGTTTCCAGTTAGAATAACTGCCTGCCCCAGGGATTGAACTCACAATTACTACTACTACTTTTATGTGTCCTGTCCCTTCAGTACATAGACAATTATGGCTCTCCACTTCTTCCTGTCCCTTGTAGCTCTCAATGTTTTGTCTTTTTGTTATTTCTCCCAGACCTTGTTCTACCATCCACTTGTTTAAGCCCATTAAATATGTCATGGGTTGCTTTCCCCGTCCCTCTGTCTACCCTGTGAGTATCAAATTTTTCAAGCCCTCCTTTCTCATTACATGTCCCAGAAATTTCAGCTGCCTTTTCCTGATTTTAAGTATAAGTTTCCTCTTTGTTTACATCCTCTCCAAAATCTCACTGTTGCTCACACGTTCAATCCATGGTATACTTAGCATCCTTCTGTAGAACCATACCTCTGTATCTGCTTAGATCTTCCAGTATATCCCCACTGTTGTAGATTTCATTTATTATTTTTGTAATCTTGTCTATGCCAAAATCATCTAAGGCTCTCAGCATCTCTGTTACAATTCTGCCTGGCCCTGCCGCCTTGTTTCTGTTCAGTTTGGCCAATCTAGCTTCTACTTTAGTTTTTAGAATATCAGGCCCATTGGTAATTCTGTGTATTTCCAGTCATTCTCTTTCATCCTGGAAGAGTTCTCCAATATGTTTGTTCCAGCACAGAAAAATCTTTCCTTCTCTAATATGAGCATTCCATCCATTTTATGCATCCTGTTGACTAGCATGTCTTCTGTCCTGTTAGTTCCTTTATTTGTTTATGTATATCTCCTTTGTCTGTGATATTCAATCTCTCTATTTCTGCACATTTTTTGTTTAGCCACTCTTCTTTAGCCTGCCTGCCTGCATTTGGTCCTTATTTCATTGTGTAATTTTCTGTATTCCGTTCCATATCTTGGCATTTTTGTCTCCTTTGCATCATGTTGAGTGATCCATTTGTTTTTTTTCTTCTTCATCCAGTCTCCTTTGTAATGATATCATTTGCTGATGTCACTAAAGATTCTCTTCGTATGCCCCATTTCGAGATTCCATATCTATTTTGTCCCTCGTATCTTCATTTCACATTGTCCATATATTTTTCCTTCAGGTTTGAATCGCCCAGGAGTTTGTTCTATTGCAGTTTGGGTGCTGCGTTAGACTTCTTCAGTTTCTGTAGTTTCACTCTTAGTTTACATATAAGAGGGTGATGATCGCTTCTGCAGTCGGCACTTGGTTAGGTTTTGCAGTGAAGCATTACATTTCTGAATCTTTTGTTGATATGTCACCAAATTCACAAACCAACACTTTAATCCACTAGGTGATTGTCCTGTGAAGAACTTGGGACCTTACCCATGTGTTGATAAGGACTGCTGCTGTTCTATATATACATCTGATGAAAGTCAGAGGGCATAGTGGCCAAAATATTAACAAAGATGAAGATAATAGTCTCCATGTAAATAGTGTAGATAATTATAGATCCTTATCTCAGAAATTAATGTTAACTCCTATAGGGTTATTTATGGTTGAATTATGTATGGGGCAGCCAGTGAGGATCAAATTCATTATTCAGTAATAATGGTCATCCAGACTGGTCAAGCTAGCTATTACTTCTTGTTGCTAGGTTGGTTGGTTTTTACATGTTAAACTTCTTGGATTATTTAGTATCATCAACTTTTTGTATAGGGAACCCTGTGAGGATCAAACTCACTACTCAGTAATAAAAGTCACGCAAACTAGACTTGTTGACCATCACCTCATGCCACTAATTGATATTAACCAACACTTGTAATTTATCATGCTTATCAACAACTAGGGCTACTATTAGAAGAAAACATGGCCTCCCCACTTTGTTCTGGGAGCTTAAAGATCCAAATTCTACAAAAATTGATTTTTTAGCAAAGAGAAGTAGATACTTTTCACTGTTGAGCAATTGTATAATTAATTATTTTTAAGAATATCAGTTTTCTCAAAATTTTCATGTCAGGGTTTTCAAATTTTCCTCTTAATTAGCATCAAATATGGAGTCATTGATGCTAATCAAAATCTGAACTGTCTCTTGAAAAAAAAGTAAAATCTGATTTTGAAATTCTAAAAACAACTTTTTTATAAAACAGACTATTTTCTTTCCAACAACAAGAATTGAGATAGCACTTTTTGAAAAGATTGTCAATGCCATTTGATGCTATCCACATGGCATCAATCTTAGAAGTATTCTGTTATATTCAAATATTGACCAAATTTATTAATGGAAGATATACTCAATACCATATCAGTCATCACTTGTTATGAAGAGTATAGCAAGTTGTATGACAGCATACAGTTCCATAGATGGAAGCAGTCATACTGATTATTGGGCTTTTGGGATACCAGAAAATAGAGGCCAGAAGAAGAATCAAGTCATGTTGTTTTAACAAAAACAGTTTTGATATTTGTTCAACTCCTAAAACAGAGTTGCTCTTCTCTGAGGTTTTCAGAACTCTATGTTAAAGGTTAAATGAGATTTTGACAGTAGATGTGGTTATTTCGTGTGTTGGGGAACTTGCTCTCCAGTGGCAGGGGGACTGATAGAGTGACCCCCACTGGCTAGTTAAAAATGTACACGTTGACATGTTTAATAGAATAAACAAGTTTAAAATCCCTTTTGTTGAAGTTCTCTTTCATCTCCGGACTCCAAAAACATTTTGACACCCATCCAGAAGACTAGCGTGAGAAGATGCAACATTATGTAATCTACTCTGTCAACCAAGACATCACCAGAACAAGGGGGATATACAAAATTTTGCTTATTTGGTGCAATGGCCAGGACCTCCCAGTATGAGGGCTGCAGAATGACGGTTGCAACACAATGTGGAAAAGTTTGGATATTTTCAATAAAAAAAAAAAAAAGAAAAAAAGAGAGAGAGATGGGGATAGGGGAAAAATTAACCTAGACATATTGGACAGTCTGTAAGTACAATGCTATTACTTTGTTCTACTGCCACACACATCTTCAACAACCAAAATAGGAAATAATGATAAAAGGAAAAGGGTTTGATGGACAGAAAAAAAGTGAGAATGAATAGAGTAGAAAAAAAAGGAAGGAAGGACATAGTTTGAACAATAGACTGATTTTTGATCTTTTGTTTTCGGTTTTGACAAAACTCTGAAGCTATGTGCAAAAAAAATTTTATTGTTAATTTTTTTTTTGATTGGCATGCTTTTTATGTCTTGTCTCAGGTCATGTTTAGCATGATTTCATGTTGTATATGCTACAGTTGTAATTTTTATTGTGGAAAAAATCTGGCCATGAAAGTTTTGCCATTAAGAAAAGTTTGTTTTCCTTGAAGTGAAGGTAGTTAAAATAATCAATGAAAATCTTTTATGTCTATCAAGTTTAGAATTATTTTGTTAATTGCAATTAACTGACAAATAATTTTTTTTTTTATTTTAAGAGGCATGTGTGCCCTTTTGCCTTCATTGGTTGGTTAATTAAGTTATTAATTAGTGAATTTTGAGAATTAATTATTTGTGGAAAAAGTTAACTAGCTAATAGTTTTGGGAATAAGTAGATTCAGCTTGCATGGTTTCAGATTTCCGAATGTGTTTGGGTCTGTGTCCTGGGGTGAAAATGTTCACACCTAGATATATAGTTAGGGACCCACTGATTTATGGGAAGTAAAATGGGGGTCTATGTGCCCATGAAGTATTTATATTGAATAAATATACTCTAAGATAACCTCAGGGCCAAGTTTTGGGGACCCCCGATGACATAGTGGAATTGATCAAGTGGCTTGTGGGATGCCAAGTTGCAATATCAACTAAGGGATGAAGGAACACTTGTAACCACAGTAGAGCCAGCAATGGATTAGTTAGGAGACACTGTGTGTGTGTGTGTGTGTGTGTGTGTCTCCCTCTCCCCATGGAGGACAGCCGAGGGCAGGGAGAAATGGAGATGTTGTGAGCTGAGTTTGACACACGCAGAAGTAGATGAGCAATAACAGTAACTATAGGAAATTAATGGTGGAAAAAAAATTGTGAAGATCTGATGTGGTTATTTCGTGTTGGTGAACTTGCTCACCAGTGGTTGGGGGGGGTGACAGAGCGACCCCACTGGCTAGTTGAAAATGTACACATTGACGTGTTTAATAAAATAGACAAGTTTAAAATCCCTTTTGTTTAAGTTCTCTTTCATCTTCGGACTCCAAAAACATTTCGATGCCTATACAGGAGAAGACGAGCAAGAGAAGATACAATGTTATGGAATCTACCCCATCAATCAAGATCTCTGCAGAACAAGGGGGCTATACAACAGTTATACTTGGAAACCAAATCCAAAATGAATATAGTTTCTCTTTTGGGTGTTGGCAATAAATGAAAAACTGATTCAGTGGAACTCCAACAAAATCAGCAACATCACCAAAACACTGGATACATTCACTGATATCAGTTTCCCCCCCCTCTTCACACTTTACTAGTCATTATCTATGGCCACTATTAAAAGGGCATGAAGGTGTCTGTTCTTAACATGGCTAATTCTATCTATACTCCAAGATGTCTGGTCAATTCAAGGCATTTCAGTTATGATGATTTCTCTTTATATCGGGAAATTTTTTAACTGTTTTTAATTACACCTTTGGACAAATCCTAAAGAAAAGATGGCAAACTTTGACCTTTGTAACCACAAAAAAAATGGTGTCAAAAGGATGTTTTTTTTTTTTGTTTTTTTTTTTCTCATTGACACTGCTATTATTTTAACTACCTTCACTCCTCGGCAATGTTTATTGCTGATGATTAGAATTTTAATAAAACTTAAAAATATGATGAAAGTGAATTTATACACGTTTTCTTTTCTTTTTTTTTTTCTTGAAAATTTACAGCAAAAATATTAAGCACTATTAAAACATTTAATAGATCATTACTTTACAAGAATAACTTTATATTTACAACATTCAAAAATCTATTATAATTAAAACTGATTCAATATTTATCATTTACCAATGTATAAAGAAATGAATATGAAAACAATTTTTTATTCATAAATTTATGAACATTTACTAAATTATTCGAATATGTAAACCAAATATAAGGAAATCCTTATTTCGAATTTTATAAAATTCAAATCAATTGGCAATTAACCGATATTTTGATAAACAATATAATAGTGTAAATAATCTATCTAATAAATAAATAGTGTTTAATAATTTTGTTGTAAATTCTGAAGAACAAAGAAAATGTATAAATTCACATGTTTAGGTTTTATTGAAATTCTATTCATTGCATTTTAAAACAATAAACATTGCCGAGTGAAGGTAGTTAAAATAATAGCGGTGTCAAGGGAAAAACTGTTCTTTTGACAATCCATTGTTTGAGGGAGTTTGTGCATGAAGGTTAAAATTTGCCCAAAAGATTTAATGAGGTTGGGTGTTTTAGTAGGTGTTCTGAAAAAAAAAATTTCTTTACTTAGATTCTAAATTTTTAACCCCTTAAATTATTTTTCAAACCACCCTTTTGTTAAGATCCCCCCCACCTTGTATTAGGCACCTAAGAGTACTTATGTACTAAATGTACTCATTTAGTAGGAGATTGTAATGGATAATTTAAAAAAACAAACAAACGTTTTTTTGTTGCAGGTGATTATGGAAAAGAGACAAGATCAAAACCGATTTATCTGCCTTGTTTGTATCTCGACAACCCTCAATGTCAAATGAAGAAGCTGTAAGTAAACTCATACATTTTATGTGTATTTCCAGTTTATATATAATATATATATATATATATATATATATATATATATATATATATATATATATATATATATATATTTTTTTATAAAAGTTTTTCTCTATTCTTTGGTTCCCACCTGCCCTGACATTTTCAGGTGGGACCCACCTGGACACTGAAACAAGAATAAATCATCTTCATTCTCTTCATATTCCATTAGTAAGGAATAAGTTCCACTCGGATAACTTCTTCTCAAGAACTGCTACTTTGTGGAACAGACTCCCAGCAGGATGTTTTTTTCCCAGTCGCTACAATCTTGACCTCATCAAGTCTAGGGTTAACCATTATCTTTCCTGCTTAACCTCATGAACTTCACCTCTTGTTTTTTCTTACACTCATACATCACACAGTAACCCTCTACCTTGAATGGCTCTTAGACCTTTTTGGGGTGAAATACAAAGTTTCTTTCGTCATTTCCTGTATAACACCATGAACTCTGCCTCTTGCTCTTTCTTATGGCCATATCACATTGAAACACCAGTTCCCATACAATCACCGAAGTTAAGCAACATCAAACCTGGTCAGTACATTGGATGTGTGGGTAGCTCAGTTGTTAATCAGAGAGCCGAGTACCAATTCCCATTGTGTTCATTATAATCACTTATGGTAAAATACTCTTGGGAAAGGTATGAATCCACGTCTTCTCCATCCCTGCTGTTGGTTAAATATAAAGACTTGTATCACTAAATCATTATTATCTCAAAACAAAAATTCTTACAATCTAAAAATATTTTCTGGCTTCAAATAGCCTGCAAAGTGTTGATAAGCCATAGAAAACAAATCAATCCGTCAATTTTCTTACACTCTTACAATATCTATTATAATTGGAGAACTGAATTCCAATTCAAGTTGGGTTTGTTATATTCACTTACAAACAAATACCTTTGGAAAAGGTATCAATCTACCTCTTCTCCTCCCCAGCTATGTGTTAATTAGTAAGATCATTATTATCTACTCTCAAAAATCTAAAAAACATTTTTTGGCTTTAAATAACCTTCGAAAGGTTGATAAGCTATAGAAAACGGATCAATCAATCAATCTTTTTCCCTGCATAGCTTTCCTCTTTGAACGTTTTGTACCATGTCCAAATCTGCATTGCAGTTGGTGCATTTTTAGTGAATCCACTCACAAATGCAGGCTGCACAGTCTCATTTAAATTTTTTATGTTGTTTCTACAAGTGCTGTTAAAATTTGAGATCATTTGCTCAAGAATTGGTCAAGTTATTTGATTACAAAATTATATCAATTTTTCTGAAACTCTCTGTATTTTACTGTTTGTAATCTGGGAAATTTGAAGGCAGATTGTTCTCATTACAAAGTCAATGCTGAATGATAAATAAACCTTTGTTGGCTCTGCGCTCTGTTGGAAAGATGTTTTGAGTTAAATATGAAATACCACACCCCCAAAAAAGATAAACAAAGAATGTTGGCTATATTATAATTGTGCTTGTCCCTCCCTCCCTTCATTAGTTTGCATGACCGTTACACCCTGCTAATATGTCATAAATAATGGACTATTCCATTTTGATCGTGTGGAAAGAGGGGGAAAAACACTGCTTTGTTTCGGTGAAGAAATAAAAGAAAGAAAAAAAAAAGAGGGAAAATAGAAGAGTTTAATGGCTGTTTCAGTGAAATGGAAGAAAATTTCAAATCTTTTCATTTGTACCCACTTCTTAAAATAGCTAGTATTTATATTTATGATTGTTATCAGAATATTTTGTTAAGCTCAAATGGGAATTTTTACGGATATTTTATTGTCATAGAACTCTTAATTTAAGAGTTAAGATTCATCAGAATATTAAAATAGGAAAACGGGAAAACCATGAAATTTTCATGGTGTTAAAACTAGTTGTAATTTTGGTGTGAATTTTTTAAATGAGGGAAGGTACATCACAAGGATATTTTGACAAGGAAGAATTAAGTGATACAACATATCTTCTAGTATAGATAGCAGATTCAGAACAATCTACTTCTGTGGATTGAATAAAGGGTTTTGTTCAAAAATTCCAGGAACATTAGCTTGATGTAGCCATAAATTCTTTTCTAATACTCTTTTCTTGCACTTCTCACCTGTAGAACTCTCTTCCAATTTCTTGCTTCCCTGCTGCTTACAGTCTTCAAAAGTTTAAATGCAACATCAATCACTATCTTCTATCATCTTTGATCATGTTCTATTATTGTTTTTTCTCACTGAAGTCTTCACTTTCCCTCTCACTCTCAGTAACTTTTGCATCTTGGTGGCTTTAACACTTTACTTGAGGGTGAAATGATTAAAAAGAATTACTAACTTTGAAAATGGCCTGAGTGTATAATGATCAATCAACATCTTCTGTTGTCTTGATCCCCATTCTTCTTTTATCCTTTCCTCAATCCATTTTATACAGTCTTTTCCCTCACTTTCACTCTCGGTAACCCCTGGCGTGCTAGTGGGACTCCTGCCTTGCTTGGGGTGAAATGCTTTAAAAAAAAAAAAAAAAAAAATTGACAAATATTGTTTTTGAAATTATTTTATTATTTTTGAAAATCTTTTCAGGAACAATTATCTCAAGAATGGAATGAAGATCTGGACGGAATGGAATCCTTTGTTCTGGAGGGAAAGAAGTTTGTCCGCTTACCAGAAGAAGAATTTGGTAAGTTCAAGAAAGTGCTTCGTTTCTAATTTAAAATTTGCAATGAATGAATAGGTAGGATATGAATTAAATGATGATGGTAGGTCAAGGGATCAAGTAGATAGTATATTTTGGTGATTCTGTTTATAACTGCATTCAGCAATCCATCCACCTATCTTGGGATCAATGCCTGTTAGTGTCAATAGCAAGAAAGAATTGCTCTCCAATATGCTTATCCAAGTTGTTGAAATTTATCATTTTTTTTTTTCCTTCTTTTATAAGTATAGTATCTTCTTTATTGTTGTTATCACAACGTTTCAGCAGTTGTTCCTTCTGGCCTTCATCAGGTGTAGAATCAGGGCAAATGTTGCAAGCAATAACTGAGCATTACTAAAAATAAGAAGTAGACAAGATATTCCTAGACATAGGCAGTGGAACAAGAACAGTCAACCCCATAGATTAAATAAAGGGTCCAGTTCAAAATGCTTTGTAGGTTACCTGTATCGATATACACCTGATGAACAACAAAGTTGAGGACAATAGTCCATATGTAAAACGGTGTAAATAATGATAAATCCTCAACTCTGAAATTCAGACAGGATAAAGTCTGTGATATCAAATTTATTTTTAATGAACTCAGTAGTGTGTAGTGTTCAGTTTTAAAAACTCCAGCTTGTGCATATGGTTTCATTTGAAAAGATTTGAAAGTTAAAACTTAGTAAGTGCACTGGAAATGTGTAGCAAATATTTATGTCAAGCAAATTTACTTACAATGTGTTTTTAATTTATTTTTATTTATTTTTTTTTAATTTTATTTTTACTTATTTTTTTAACAGGTCACTTTTACAGCCAAGACTGCTACGTATTCTTGTGTCGATATTGGGTGGCAGTAGAATTTTCAGATGATGATGATGATGATAATGCTGACCCTCCAGAGGATGACTACAAATGTATTGTTTACTTTTGGCAGGGAAGAGAGGCTGGCAACATGGGCTGGCTCACTTTTACTTTCAGGTCAGCTGACCCCCTCTTTTTTATTTATTTTTTTTTTTTTCTAACTTTCCTGGTTAAGATTAATTTGGAATCAATGTCATCAGAGGTGGGAGGAGACTGTTTTCTATTTGTCACAGTTTTTTTAGATCAGCTTCCAATTTAACTTTATCGAACTGATCAGACTTACAATCAAGACAGGAGTAAATAGTTATCAGCATAGATATCAAAGTTGTGAACTGACATCATCAGAAAAATCATTGATGAAAATTAAGGACAAAGTAGGTCTGAAGGTAGAACCCTTGGGGTACCTGCATTAGTATAAAAAGATCTAAAACCATGGCTGTTCAGGACAACTTTCATTTTGAGATTTCATAAGGTTCAAACATTCATCTGGAAATACCATGATCTTTCAACTTGTGAAGAAAACTGGTATGCCAAACTCTGTCAAACACATTCAAGATTTCTAAAGGAGCAGGCCAAGCTTCACCAGTCTTATTAGATTCTGTTTGAACATTTCTTGGCATTCCATCTGTATGAAAATCAAGAAGGGATTGTCAAAGGTCAGGAATTAAGACAAATATTGCTAAAAGAATAGGGCTATTATATGAATATTGTGAATGTATTGCTAATTGTTTTACTATAGAAATGTATTGAAAATCAGGAAGAAAGAGATTGTCAGTTGTCAGAAATTAATGCAAGTATTGCTTACACTAGAGTGCTATTATGTATAATATTGAAAATAATTTTAATGTTATTTTAAAGTACTGTTTACTAACATTTTTTTTTTTTTTTTAAGAAAATAATTTAAATTTTTACAATTAGCAAAAATAAAATTTTCCTTTTTTCTGTTTTCTTCTTTTACCAGTTTACAAAAGAAGTTTGAAAGTTTATTTGGTGACAAACTGGAAGTCGTTCGAACACATCAACAACAAGAAAACCTGAAATTTTTGTCTCACTTCAATCGTAAATTTGTCATTCACAATGGCAAAAGAAAACTACCTTCTGCTCCAGTTGTCAAACGAGGAGTAGAAATGTTCCATCTCAGAGCCAACGACAGCCCCATTGCTACAAGGTGCATCCAGGTAAGATAATTTCTTCTCACATATACACGCACACACAGAGCTGGTGCAAATATCCCGTACCCCGCCCCAATCTATGATACATACACCCCTAATCTACTATATCTCAATTTCCTGACTCCTTCAAAAATATATTGGAATGGTTTTCCATTACATTCTGCATGGTTTCAAATTCAATATAGTCTTTCTTTAGAATGACTGCCTCTCAAGGCTAGAAAGTCTCTCTGGTTATTTGACTAATAGCAGGGGATGGGGAGAGATAGATTCATGCCAATTCCAAAGCCCTTTATGTGAAAGTAAAGGCAACAGATGAGATAGAGATTTGAATTATATCACTGATTTTTCTTTCTCCCCTGATAATCATGATGTTATTTACATATAATGTGTCACAAAACCACTTCCCTTCTCAAAATTCAAATGCTGGATCCATGATTAAAAGTCTGTAAGATGTTAATTTCCAAAAACTGACTACAGACACACAAAGATGGTTAATCTGACATGAAAGGTTTTATTATTGCATAATTGCTATCTTGTGAGAAATGAAATATGATTTAATATTCCATTTTTTTATTTTATTTTCAGATTAGACCAGACGCATCATTACTAAATTCACATTTCTGGTAAGTAAGAGTTTTCAATCTACAAAATTAGTAGCTTTTAGAAAATTCTACATGAATGGTCTTTGAATTTCTTAGACGAAGCTTGGCATTATCATTTATTTTAATTATTAATTTTAGCTTTTTTTTTTCTTTTTTTTTTTTTAACTCAAGATAAATAAGCAATAAATATCAGCATTTTTTTTTTTTCTTGTGAATTTTTTTTTCTTGTGAATTTATTTTGACTAAAATTTGCCTAGATTGTATCTGATTCCAGCCAAGCCACAAGTACCAAAATTGGCAATCAAAGCAGCTTGTAGAAGAAGATCGGTAAAGATTAGCTGAAGAATTCTGCATCATCTCAGCTGGGTATTCTTTGAATCTTCACACTGAACAAAAACATTTGTTCAGGGCTGGAAAACAGCATGCTCAAATCAGATGGCTATTGTTTTGCCTGTTAGATTAAGATTGCCTTAATTGAAAGATCACAAGAGGAGGGAACTGTCGATTTGCTTAAGTTAGGATAATATTTCAGTATCTTAGATGCATTGACAATTATTATTAATTTTTGACTAGTATTTCTTTCATCTTATTTTTCTTGTTTTTCCACCAAGTAGTATTAGTCTTAAGTTGTCTAAATTTCTTAGTGGAACCTTGATAATTATTAATTTTTGACTAGTATTTCTTACACCTTATTTCTCCTACTTTATTATTGTACTTATTTTGTATTTTTTTTGTCTTATTTTTCTTATTTTTATCACAATTCCCAGATAGCTATTCTACAACAAGTAATATTCTAACACATATCACTGGGAGCCTTTCTGTTCAATTTATCCTGTTTCCTTAACAGTTTAAGAATAAATGTAAAATTGACATAACTTATATTAAAAAGCCAAAGTTAGGGGAAAAATACTAGTCAAAAATGAATAATAATTGACAAGGCTTCATCTAAGAAATTCAAACAATTTAAGACTATTACAGCTTGGTGTAAAAGCAAGAGAAAGAAAAGAAATGCTAGTAAAAAAAAAAAAAAGAATAATGATAATACTTCATGTGAGATATTTAAAGATTATTATGCTGAATACTATTATTCTCAATAAAAGAATATAGCTATGTGTCTGATTTGAATTGTAACATTTGGTAGTGTTTGTGGACCATTCAATAAGACAAGTCCCTAAGAATAAGGGATTTAGAAATTGACATCATGCAAGAATCTTGTCCTTTTTTTCCAATCCATGCTTCTTGTCAAACTCTTATAGGAACTGTATATATCTTATAGTTTATTATCTTCAATATTTCTTCCTCATCTTCAGCATTTAAAAAAAAAAAACTTAGCCATTAACCTTTTCCTTAACAATAGATGGTGTTGATAAATTCCTTATTCATTATGGTTTTTTACACAGTTACATCCTGAAGGTGCCATTTGCCAGTGAAGACTTACAAGGAATCGTCTACGTGTGGATCGGAACCAAGGCTGACCATGAAGAAGCACGACTCGCTGAAGAGATTGCTTATGACATGTTTAAAGTAAGCATTTGATTAATCATTTTGGTTCAATATGCAAAGACTCTTGAAAAAAATTTAAAAACATTCACATGATGTGCAGTCTATCAAAATGTAAACAAACATGTTGAATACAAGCATTCCATCACACATTCCTGTTTTTATTGTCATATTTAGTTGTATTTTTATATGATTCCTCTCCAGTAGAATTCACTTGGCTCTCTATCAAAAAAGAAAAAAATCTACCTGAATATATAATGAATTTTCTCAAGCCTTTCACTTTGTGGCCCCTGATCAAGGATTTTCTTCCTTCTCTTTAGCAGTTAACTATTCAACACATGGTTTTTTGCTAACACCAATAAAACTCTCTTTTAAAATCTGACAGACTTCAAACATTTCTCTGAATAAGGATTTTGGAGGCAAATACCTTATCAATCACCCAACTCACAAAAATCCAGACAGTCACTGTCAATAAAAATCTTTTCCCTCATACAAAACTTCACAGGTGAATTTTGTGAATATTCCACTTCTTCTATGTGCCATGCCTCTTCAAAACATTGACTATCATGGCTCTCCACAATTTCCTGTCCTTTGTAGCTCTTAGTAAATTTTATCTTTTTATTATCTCTCCTAGATCCTGTTCTGCCATTCATTTACTCAAGCTTGTTCTACTTCATCTATGTGACATGTCCCTTCAGGGTCATGGCTCGGCACAATTTCTTGTGCTTTGTAGCTCTAAATAAATTTTGTCTTTTTGTTTCAGTTGAAGCTACTTCTATATGTAGTGAAAGGAAAAGTAAGGTTAAAGTTTAAGGGTCGAGTATCAAAGAATTTAATTTATTTACTTTTGAAAATAAATTCTCACCCAAAAATAACTTGAAAGCATTGACATTAATAAAAAGTGACCCACTCTTAAAGTTTTAACCTATAGCTCTCTGCATTATTCACAATATTCCTCTTGCACTGAGTACTTATCCAGTATACCAAAATATTAAATTTCAGTTAAGGTCCCATCCTGGGTAAGATGATAAACTATGTCCAACAGCAAGGCCTCTGACCACCTTAATTGCTGGTATTTCCAGGTGCACCCTGACCCAAGGTAGTAGCACCTGTTAGGGTCCCTTCTATGGGTAAATAGTTAACCCCCTAACTAGGATCAAAACACTATGAAAGTGTAAAAATAGGTTTTAATAACAGAAATATTTAGTAAAAAATTATTACCAGCAATAAATTTTTGAAGAAAAATTATTACAAACAATATATTATTACCAGCTATACATTTTTGAAAAAAAAATTTTACCAGCTATAAATTTAAAAAAAAAAAAAAAATATTAGCAACAGTAGAAATCTTGTCAATATTAACCCATTGAGGTTGATAAAAAAAAACAAACCAGACCAATCAATTAAGGTCATTTTTTGTTGTTGCCATAGCAGGACATAACAACACAACTATGAAATTCATACACATGCAGAGTTCCCTGCAGTGGCAAGACAAATGTTTGACTCAGCAAACAAAATTAACTATAAGGAGTTAAAACTAAAAAGAAAACCTGATTGGTTGGTTGGTTTTTGTTTAGTAGCATATCAACACCTCTATGGGTTATTTAATGCTGAAATCTAAATATTTTGTATGCAATTTTATTTTATTTTTTGGAGATAATAATGGCTTTAGTAATACAAGTTTTATTAATTAACCCATAGCTGAGGGGAGAAAAGGTGGATTCATACCTTTCCCAAGAGTATTTGCACATCAGTGAATCTAACAAATTCAACTGGAATTGGAACTCAGTTCTCCAGTTGACATTTCTGAGCCACCATCTGTTACAGCATTGTACTGACCAGTTTCAATGTTGCTTAACTTCAGTGATCATAGGGGAACATCGACAACAAAGTATTCCACCCTTGCAAGGGCTCAAATGAAAAAAAACAATGTTAGAGAACTGTCATGTTATTTATAGTTGACAAAAAGCCAATAGTAAAAGAAAGTCAATAGATTATACCACCGGAAAAATGAAGACAGTAAGTCTATTCTCAGTTATTATTTTCAGCAACAACATTTGGCCATTGTACTCTCCTACCTTCCTTGTGGGGTGGGAGTGGGTAGATTGTTCCCATTCTGCTCACCTTGTCCAAGAATATCTCATCTGTTCACCCTGTTTTCACTAAGTCACTGAGTCTACCCAGCTTGTTAATTGAACTCACAATATTACTCTGCTAGGAAATTCAGAAATCAATGCCTTTAATCTACTAGGCTATTGTTCTGTGGGACAATCCTGAATCTAGAACTTGAGGCTTTAGATTTAATGTTCAGTCAGCCTCATGTACTTAAACAATAACTGAAAACATTGGCTTCCTTTACAACTGTATCCATAAGTTCAAGTGATAGCTACTTCTCTATGTCAAATGTATCAGTTGGCATAAAAGTTAAGTTTCTAAATCCCATTTCTTTGTGACATCCTGCCTTGGTTTTGAAATCTAGACAATATGACATGGAATTAAAATTTAAACATACATTATTAAATATAACAGACAATGAATGTCTATTATGTCTGATCATCAGCCATTTGAATGCTTGCTTTAATTTCTGGTGAAAATAAAGACAAAAATTGTCCAGCATTTGGATATTTTTTTGTTAAGTTGATCCTAAGCTTTTAGTTCACATGAGCCATCCTCAGAGCAGTTATACAGACATGAAACAAAGATATCCACTGTCAAAGATGATATTTTTTTATTTTGACATAGAAAATTGCTATGCGACATTAACGGTCGCAGAATAGCAGGTGCAGATTGTAAGTCCAAGATGCAGTTCTATGTTGTCATACCACGCGATAGACCAAAGTATTACAACAGAATCAATGTCTAGATGCAATGTAATGTGTTGTGACTAGTTTGAAATGTAATTTTGTTGAATGTGAGTTGCTTTGTTTTAATGTAGATGGCCTACAATGTCTGAAGGTTCTTTTTATTGTGTGTATGTGTAAGTATTATTGTGTTATCAACTAATATCTGTCTAATATTAAGAAATGTTACTTAATGGAACTAAGATCAGAAAGATAACACCAGAAATTAAAGCAAACATTAGAACAGCTCATGATCAGACATAATAAACATTCATTGTCTGTTATATTTAATAATATATGTTTAAATAATGATCTGTTGCTGCAATATCACACATTGAGTGCTGGTTTTGTGTTACCGGTGAGAAGATATATATCAGAAATTAGTGGATTTCTTATCTGGCATTAATATTGCTTCGAACCTTATTTAATGGATATCCATATTTGATTAGAATATATTTTCTTAATTATGTGTCTTGAATGTTCAATGCCAGTAGACGTAGTTTACACTGTTTATAAAAACAGACTATCTACTCGAACACCTGCACCCAATAAAATATAACATTAAAAGTAATAAGAAGTATTGTTGGATTAAAAATAAAATTAATTCTTTAGAAATAAATGTATATAGTTGTTTATTTGGGTAGCAATCCCTCTCTAATACATGTTTGGTTAAATGACTGCAAAATCATAATTAAATGCATAAATTTCTACTAAAAATGTGATTGATATCTAGATCAATAATTATTGAATTAAAAGGAATATATATGTCTATATTTCTGAGATGAAGTATTGTAATTATTTACACTATTTACATTGTTCGGGCTGTTGTCCTCATCTTCATTGCCATATTCATTTACGTTTAGACCGTTTATGCGCTCCGGCCTTCTTCTATATCTGTCTATATTTCTGAGATGAGGTATTGTAATTATTTACACTATTTACATTGTTCGGACTGTTGTCCTCATCTTCGTTGCCATATTCATTCACGTTTTTGAGACCGTTGTACCTCCGGCCTTCTTCTATATCTGTCTATATTTCTGAAATAAGGTATTGTAATTATTTACACTATTTACATTGTTTTTCTGTTGTCCTCATCTTCGTTGCCATATTCACGACGTTTAGACTGTTGTATCTCCGACCTTCTTCTATATCTGTCTATATTTCTGAGATGAGGTATTGTAATTATTTACACTATTTACATTGTTCGGACAGTTGTCCTCATCTTCGTTGCCATATTCACAACATATAGACCGTGGTATGCTCTGGCCTTCTATATCTGTCTATATTTCTGAGATGAGGCATTGTAATTATTTACACTATTTACATTGTTCGGACTGTTATCCTCATCTTCGTTGTCATATTCACGACGTTTGGACTGTTGTATGCTCCAGCCTTCTTCTATATCTGTCTATATTTCTTAGATGAGGTATTGTAATTATTTACACTATTTACATTGTTCGGACTGTTGTCCTCATCTTCGGTGCCATATTCACGACATTTCCATATAACATTAGGATAACTTTCAAATGTGGTTTAACACTTCGCAGATACCTCTTCTAAGTAAGAACATGATGAAGGACTGTGTGTATTCCACCCCATGCAGTTGTGCTAAAAAATATAAAGGAAAAACAGGACACTCCCTTAAGAAGTGTCTGCATGAATGACTTAAAACCGTAACACAAGAGGAAATAGAAAAATCTGGTGTAGCTGACCACATGTGAAGGGAAAAGGGAGATCACCGCTCCCTGTGAGATGAAGTCAAAATAATAGACACAGAATATCACTTGAAAATACGAAAACTTAAGGAATCAGCACATATTTTATACTACAAAAATCTCCGAAGTTGGCCAAGCATAGAAATGCATACAATATGGGAATCAGTAATATGGAGTGCTAGAAAAAAACAATAACAAAATTGTAATATGAGCTCTGGTAAAAAAAAACCCCAAAAAACACGAATACTGAGACATTAGGTTTGTAAGTTCCAAAAATTCATTCACTGATGTCCTCAAGGACATATGTCCCAGTGGATAAAAGCATTGGTTGAATACACTAACATGGCCCAAATAGTTGTGACTTCAATACCTGGCGACAACAGAGATGAACAAAAACTTGGAGTGTTGAGTTAAAGAGAGATAGCTGATACTGAGAAATCCGGAAGAGGCATGACACGTGGAACTAGAACAATCTTCCCAGGTGGATGAAATTTCAATCACCTGAAGAAACGTCATGAATATGGCAATGAATAAGTGGACAACAGTCCAAACAATATAAGTAGCTTAATCTAAAGTAATATGCATTTTAGTAAATTGGAGTAGATACTTTTGCCTATTGTTTTTTTTTAAGATGTTCCCTGTTTAGGATTGGGTTTTCTTCTAAAATCTTTTCTCTTTCACTCTCAGTAGCCTCCCTTGTGTCTTAGTGGCATTATCACCTTGCTTGGGGTGAATTGATTTAAAAAAAAAAAAAAAGTCTCTTTGACACAAATTTCTCTTCTTTTGTATCACTGTTGTGTCTTTGTCAGGCTAATGTTTGCACAAGATTTTTTCTAAAATTCTTCAAAGTTGTATTTTTTTTTTTTTTCTTGTTTCAGGAGCACTTTACAATTCAAATGATTAGTGAAGGAGAGGAACCAGAAAACTTCTTTTGGGTTGGCATTGGAGGCCGAAAGCCATACGAGAAGGTGAGATGGTCTGAGAGACTCAAATATTATCTTGAAATCTTTGTGTGTGTGTGCACATACATATATATATATATATATATATATATACACACACACACACACACACACACACACATTGAAGTCACTGCTGGGTGTTGACTTCAATATTGACTTTTATATTTATATGCGCTCTATCTCTAGTGGAAACCACCATTTGATCCAGTGTACTTTACAAAGCCGGATGCAGGTTCGATTCCTGCCAAGGAACATATTTTTCTTTACTATGGTTTCTTGAATGTGCAGCCCAATAGAGGTAACACACATGTTTAATTAATAAAAATGGGGCATCTGTTACAAATACAAAGTCTCCACTATGATAATGTTTGAAGTAATCAAAATGTCCAGTTAAAAATAAATCTGTTAATTAATTCTTGATATAGGACAAATAGCCATGACATTTCACATGTGTGCACAAAAGCGCACACACACACGCACACAAAATGAGAAAAAAAAATTAAGTTCACACCAATACTAAGAGTCTCCAAACTAGTGCATAAATTAATTACATCAAACTTAGTCTAAAAAATGAGAAAAACAGCAGTCAATTGCTGAAACCTCCTGACAATTGGATTGAACGATTACAAAGGTTCATCTATACAACTCTGGAATCAAGGCAAGATAGTGAATATAAAAAATTTAATTGTATTAATTCTAATATATATATATATATATATATATATATATATATATATATATATATATATAATTTCTAGAAACAGTTTCTACAAAATCTTATTTTTAACTTGAAAGAAAATCCTTATTTTAAGCACAAATTCTGAATATGAGCAAATCCTTCAGTTATATCTTCTACACTCACAAACCTCAACATTTCAATGCTATTGCTTTTATGAAGAAAAGTTTTTATGCAAAATGGTATTAAAATTTGACCCTTGGATGTTTTTTCATGATCTTTCAACTCTGACCTTTGTATTTTATCAATATAATTTTCTCTTTTTTTAAAAAAGCAAATAAACATCTAACAGTCTATGAGTTTCAAGTTTAGTGCTCAGCATTTAATTCATAATACTAAGGCTTTAGACACCCCATAATATTTAGGTACTTCTTTTATTTACCCTCAGAAGCCAACAAACATAACTATTTGCAAACTGATATTAATTTCTATAATTTCTTACAAGAAAATCTGGCTGTCTTCCATTTGATCAATATATTTTTCAATGTTTTTTTTATGTCGATCTCTTTAAGAAAATAGCTTTTGAAAAACTACTACTGATTTCTCAGACCTTTTTATTGACATTATTTGTCTGTTATCAATGATTATGTTATGATTAATAATTTGAATAAAAGCTAACAATGATTTTCTTTTTTCCCCTCATTTTCTATGATTTTCTTCCGTCCGCTGGCTTTTCAATTCAGGATGCCTCATTCATGCAATATGCTCGTCTTTTCCGTTGTTCTAATGACAAAGGCTACTTCACAGTCTCAGAGAAATGTGCAGATTTCTGTCAGGTATGTTTTTTTTACCAAAATGCTTGACTTCATTTTCTTTTTTTCTGAAGACAATTGGAACAGACATTTGAAATACTTTAGAAATTCTATTGGTACCACAAATATATAGACCTGATTGTATCTCTGTGTGTGTCTGTATATACATATATGTGTATTTCTATATATGTGCATTTACATTTGCCTGTCTCTACATGTGTGCGCCTTCATTTGCATGTCTACATGTGTGCGTCTACATTTGCATGCATATACGTGTGTACACAAATGTGTCATGTCTCTCCATGTCTGTATGTATCTATAGTTGTGTATGTGTATCTATATATGTCTGTGTACTCGTGTGTATATTTGTGTACATATACAGGTGTGTGTTTCTCTCCCTTGTATGTGGAGCTATTTGCTAAGTTTAGTTCAGTCCTGCAAAAATTGATGTCATGAATAAGCTTGGTCTGACACAAGGCTACAGAAGCTGAGCATCCAGTGAAGATCAAACTTACTCGATTAATTTGTTGCATTAGTTTTAAAAACAACTCTTCTGAGTATTGTAGTTAGGTGAGGTATTCCTTTGTTTTTCATACATATAAAAAATGTGTGTATGTGCCAGTGTATAAATATGCATACTTGTGAATTAGGTCAATGCAAAAATAATAAGTTTTTGTTAATTTAAATTTCAAATCTTATTTTAAATTTAACTAGGATCATGTAATTTAAAGTGTAAAGAGGTTTTTGTTTTCAGTATTTATTGTAGTTGAATTCTGTGTGTACTTTTAAGCTCACTCCTGCAGAAGACTAATTAGTCTCTTGCCCAAAACTAAAGGAACCTCTGATCCATCTTAAAAAAAACAGCAATGATAATTTTGAATTCTTCAGTTAATTCCATGGAACTTCACTTTAACTCTGTTTCGAGCTATATGTCCAATTTAAGCTGAAAGTTCGATTTGGGTGAAATTCCTATTCAGGCAGAAAATTGAGTTCTTCAAATCACAAACTCTCTGAAACTTCAAGACTTCACGTCACAAAACCTCTCACTTTAACTCTGATTCTTTGGCATTTTGAAGAAATAAAATTGATTTCCTCAATTCACAAAGTATTGGAGATATTTTAAACTAAATTTAAGACAAAAACTTGTAAATTCACAAAGTTTTTGTGTTACTTTAAACTCAATATAAATGAAAAACTTTTAAAATCATTAATTTTTTGCAGTTATTTTAAAATTTGAAGTTTTAAATGTTCCCTCCTCATCCAGACACCAATGTTCAAGCACTAGATGAAGAGTAGATTTTCAATCTGGGGTCATCCTGATTCCAAAAAGGTATATGTCTATGTAGAGCAAGTGTGGCCAGAGTTAGATGTGTTTCAGACACACAGGTGGACAGAAGGAATCTGCTTTTTATTTATTTAGAAGATGGAGAAAAATACAAATTGTAGTAAATTTTTTTGTGCAAGTTCAAAATGGGATGTAAGCAAGAGTAAATTGCTTGCAGTATCAACCAAGTATTTGGGCAAAAGGGCTGGCCACAGCTATTCAGCATCAGTTCAAAAATTTCAGAAAGACTTGAAGATGAAAAATGGTGCAGATATCTTCATCTGATTAATGATATCTAATTAATTCAGAGCCATTATTGAAGGAGACTAGTACAAAAACAACTGAAGAGGTTGCAGAAGAAATAAACTTTGACCATTCAACAGTTTTCAGTGTTTGCATCAAATTGAAAGAAAGCTCAAAAAATGGGTGCTGCATGCACAGAATGAAAATGAAAAATCTACTGGTGCTACTATGGTATGGTATCTACCATCCATTTTCTACTATGGTATGATATCTACCATCCATTTTCTCCTATGGTATGATATCTACCATCCATTTTCTCCTATGGTATGATATCTACCATCCATTTTCTACTGTAGCATGATATCTACCGTCCCTTTTCTACTATGGCGTGATATCTACCGTCCCTTTTCTACTATGGCGTGATATCTACCGTCCCTTTTCTACTATGGCGTGATATCTACCTACTGGTAGGAGTTAGGGTTAAAGGCAGTGAACAATGAACTTGTTATGTACTAGAAATCATTAACAATTTTTTATACAAAAAATAAAAAAAAATCATCAAAAATTGATTTTAATGTTTGTAAATTGATTTGATGTCATTTAAAAATGCAATAAACAGGTCATCATTTTTCTTGAGCATTTTCCAGCAATAATGAGTGCATCGTCATTTATGGTAGGTCGCAAATGTATCAGTAGATATCATACTATAGTAGCACCAAATTATCATTACAAAGTCAACTTTGCTTCTTTTACACAACAAAAAACAATCTGTGACAAAAGAATAGGCTATATATTAAAACTGATAATGTTCTGTATCAGGTGAAATCAAAATAATGTTCTGATCCCTGTTTGGTAGTTAGCATGTGGAATCCTCCATGACAGCATCTTGAATCCTGGAAAACAATCATCCTAGCAGAAAAGTATTGCCAGGAAATCAACAGAATACACTAAGAACTGCAGTGTTTCTCTCCAACATTGGCAAATCAAAAAAGGACCAATTCTTCTTCATGACAATGCCCAACCGCATATCTTACAAATGACTGTGGAAATTGAACAAAAACACTATCACACTTAGTTTACCCACCAAACTCCTTTAAAACCAACTACCAATTTTTCATACATTTGAACAATTTTATGCAGGAAACGGACAACAAGCAAGCAGTAGTTAAAATTGCTTTCAAAGTATTCATTAGTTCCAGAACTCTATACAATAGACTTGATTATTTTTGTCATGTGTGCGACAAAAGTAATAAGATAAAGAGAAGTAAAGAGGATATCAAGAAAACTAAGTTTTATAGTAAACAAAAAAGGTTTTATTATAATTTTAGTGAATGGTCAGTGTCTAAAAAGGAAAAGACAAAATCTTAGTGGCAAAAAGTTAGAAATACTTAAAAAAAAAAAAAAAATATATATATATATATATATAACTTCAGTCGGGAGTTGATGGGTTTTTGCTGTGGGTCAGTGAATGGTAATAAACTGACTGCTCTGAAACAGTTTTCTGCAACAACAACTGACTTCGCCAGCCAACTCACTTAATTTTTGTGCCAACCAATGAATATGGATACCTGAATGAAAGACCTCTACTTGTAAGGTCATCTGACCACATCAAAGAGTTCTTTGATCTAAATGACCCAGAACTTGGAGAAATTTCGTTCATAAAATTAGATTCCCTTAAGAATTGTCAGCAACAATAAAAGTTAGTTCTTATTTAAATTAATAAATTTTATCCTAGTTTGCAAAATTATGCTTAAAAACTGCAATCATTTTTATACATGCCTATAAATTGCTGTATCTATGGAGGATGATTCCTTGATTTAATCATTTTCTTTAGCTTATCAACACTTACTGATTAACCCATTGCTGGGGCTAGAAGAGGTGGATTCATACCTTTCTCAAGGGTATTTGTGTGTAAATGATTATCACAAACCCAAATGGAATTCAAACTTGGCTCTCTGATTAACAATTCTGAGCCATTATACATTAGGCTACGTGCACATTCAAGCTTACAGCATTTAGCTATGGAGGGAGAGTGCATACTCTTTGTACATATAGACATTATGGACATTGAGATCAACACTGTATGGTGACTGTCAGTTTAATGCCTCAAATGATCTCTCAGATGAAGAACAGTGTAATAATCATTGCAATCATTATTACTTCGCATCTAATAGAGAAAACATTATAAATGACTTCTTATTTTTTATCAACATTATAAGTGTGAAACGTTCCTTTTGAGGAATGTCCATAAGCTATAACATTTAGTATAATTGCTATTTACAGGGAGATATGATTAAATGATTAGTTCATCATTTCATGAAAATACTTATTTCAAGAAAGCCTGTTCAAATTTCTTTTCAACCAACATGATTTGACATTCAAACTAATCATCTCATCTTTGTTATTATCACAGCATTTTTCAACCAATGTCCACTATGTAATGGTCCTCAGGGAATTTTGAACAGAGCATGTTATTATTGAATTAATATTTTATCTATATCTCTTCTGCTGCTATAATTTTGTGGGTGCTGCTTTGTCTGACATGATGCTTTTTAATTTTTCAGGATGACCTGGCTGATGATGATGTGATGATTCTAGACAATGGCGATAACGTCTTCCTTTGGGTTGGACGTAAGACCAGTGACGTGGAAATCAAATTGGCTTTCAAGAGTGCACAGGTGAGTTTTAGCAAAATGTACAACTCCACTCCAGCCAAAGTCACTGCTTTATATCCCCCTCTAACAATCAATAATTAAACACCTCTCTCTCTCTCTCTCATATATATATATGTGTGTGTGTGTGTGTGTGAAAAATATATAGAAAATAGGAAAGAACTCGTTAGGTAAATAATCCAAATGCTGCGTTAAATCTGTGGTATACCAATGTACTATCTCATCCATTGAGAGTCCTAATACTAATATGATTTACATTGGGTCTACAAAGAATGAATTTAAAGCCAGATGGAGGCAGCATAAGTGCTCTTTCAACAATATAAATAAAAGAAATCAGACATCACTATCTAAATATTTTTGGCATTTGAAGGAAATAAATAGGACACCAAAAGTAAAATGGAAAATTATAAACAAAACTAGAACTTGTAAAACTTGGGATGACCCATGCCCTTTATGCCTACATGAAAAACTACACATTATTAAGTTTGTAAATAATAAAAATCTATTAAACAATAGACATGAGTTAACAGTTTTTTGCCGACATCATCAAATTTTTGCATTGAATAATTAGCATAAAAACAAACAAACAATAAAATAATTTTTAAAATCCATAATCCTAATAAATAGTTTAAATGCCCTACAAAAAAATAACCCCTTTATGAAGTCGTCAAAAAAAAACAAATGTTACGGCAGTTTTTTTTATATGCACAAAAACCTTTCAGAAAAAAAAAAAAAAAAAAAAAAAAAAATAAATCTCTATAGACACGTAAACCAGACTAGGCAAAATCATCTTCCATTTTAAATTTAGACACCCCAACCTTACCCTGACTTGACATCTGTGAATGTAACTTTATACTGATACAAATTATTAACACCCTACACCCCTGTTTATTTAAACAATCGCTCTAGCCCTTACCATAGAAATTTTGATTTCAATAATGAATATGTTATTAAAACATGTAAATTTCAGAAATAAGTTATTCGAAAAAATTTCACTTGAAGAGGGAAGAGAGCTTACTTTAATTCAATTTAATTCAAATAATTATATTAAGTTTTCGGCTCTTGTTTTGAAACATGAGTACTCTTATGTAGCATGTTGGAATCATTTTAAATAAATAATTATATATATATATATATATATATATATATATATATATATATATATATATATATATAAATTGTATGGATAATATATGGATAAATTGTCTAAATTGCACAAAAATTAAAATAACTCTCATTTTAACAGATATATTTACCAAAGTTACACAAAAATATATTCAAATACTAAATTTATTCAATAAAATCACCATTGGCTTCAACCATGGTCTCCAGACTACTTCAAAATCTCCTGCAACTCTGCTGGACAGTCTCCTTGTTTAAGTTGATGAATGTTGCCATAATCCTTGCCTTCAGTTCATCTTTTGTGTCAAGGAGTTTTGTTGGTCTCTCGCTTAACTGTGCCCCACACATGATAATTAAGTGGGGTTTCATTCTGGAGAGTTATGTAGCCAGATGTAAGGGGTGATTTGGTCACAGAAATTGTCTGACAGCCATGACTGTTCTCCTGCTTGTGTGGCATGCTGCAGATTCTTGTTGACAGACATAGTCTTCCAGCAGCCACCCTCTTCACCGAGGGCAGCACTACCTCCTCAATGCACTTGATGTAGGCCTTCCTGTTGAGTCTGAGCCCTGCAAGAAGATGAATAGAGGCATAATGTCACCATCACTAGTGATCACTCCAAACACCTTCTTAATCACCATTAGACTCATCCAACTCTTTCCAAATACCCTGCACTGTCCTCAGATTGATACCCAAACACACTGAAATGTTTGTATTGGGGCTTTTGGCGCGAATGCCAAACAGTACAGCATGCTGTTTCCAAATTTCCGGCAGAGTGAATTGTGTCATGGTGCCCAACTGACATTATTATACTGTACAGTTGACAAAATAAATAAAAAAACAAACAACACACATGTGCAAAATTAAAACTATAAAATAGCGACAATTTACCCATCACACCCTGTTTATACAAAATCCCAAAGTTTTGGTATGACCAACAGAAAGCTTGCTTAAAATTTAAATAACCTGCAAAAATCATAAAAACAAATCAATCAATATATTAAAGAGATTACACCAAAAAATCAGCTGAGGATTGGTTGTACAAAAAATTCAATGCAACTAATTATTAATAACTAGCAGTAGAGCCCGGGGATGTAACAGTAAGAGATAGATCAAGTATTGACCATCATGAAGACTGAAAAATAAAATTGACAAAGATTATTGTTCAAGGTTGACGGACATGCATGTCTTAATTAGTTTTTTTTTTTGTTTTGTTTTTTTACGAATTGGTTAAACTCAAACAAAAACATTGTTTTCAATCGTTATGAGTCTACCGATTGAATAGAATTTTATTATAAACAATTGTCTTGTAAATGGAATTTTTTAAAGCATTCTGAATGTAAAAATAAAGAAAAAGTGTGCAAGACAATAAGAAACACACTACCTGCCAAAAAAAAGTGAAGTTTTGTTGAAATCAGTTGCAAAATGTAGGAAATCCAATCCCATATATAAATGAACACACACACACACACACACAAACAACCTGGGTTTTATAATAAGTATAACTCGATATGAGTTATCCCTCTTTCATTCTGGCGACAGAATCGTGTTTTATCGTGTTTTGAAATTGATTTTGTGCAAAAACAATTGTGTTTTTCCAATTTTTGGTGCTGTCAGAACCACCGCAAGATAATTTTACGCAGTCCTGTGAGGTTTTGTTGAAATCGGTTGAAAAATGTAGGAAATCCGATCCAATATATAAGCGTACAGACACACACACACACACACACACACACACACACACACAGTCTGCGTTTTATAATAAGTAAGATTATATAAATTCTTTCCATTTAATAATGTTCATCATTATTATGACAATGTTTCAACCATTGTGCAATTTTTTCTTCACTTTTCTCTTGGTTTCACATTCCAAAAGAAGACTTTGCAGCACAGGACTCTCTCGTTCCTCTCTGGTTGGTGGGTGGGGTGTTACATGTCTTAAAGGGTTGAAGTGCCACCCTAACCCTGTTACAAAAGCAAGGTGCATTTAATTCTTGTCTCTTTCTCTTTTGCAGGTCTACATTCAACATATGCGCAATAAACAACCTGATCGCAAACGAATTTTACTTCTTGCTCCAAAATACAAAGAGAATCGCAAGTTCACCAAATGTTTCCACGGTTGGGGCAAATATAAAGAAGTGTTGAACTGAGGACTTGACCTCTCTCTCCCACAGCCAAAATACGTGGGCAATGTGGTGTAATCATCGCACATCCATTGTCCGCATCCCTACACCAGAAGAGGGTAGACACATTCAGGTGCAAACAAGTGGACATTGGTCAAAAGAGGATAAAACTACGAATAATATCTTTTTCTTGACAGCTTGTTTTCTTCTTTTTTTCTTGAAACGTACAAATTTACATCTGAAGAAAAAGCAGTTGTAAATACTTGCTTGGCTTTTTTTTTTTTTTTTTTTTTTGCAAGTCATTTTTTATCATTCTTGTAAAACTACTTTGTGCGAACAGGCCTTGCTCCATATTCTCCACTGCCTAGGTGCATTTTCTAAAGCAGTCAACATTTAGATGCATCTGGGTCTTGCACAGTGAAATTGTGAGGGTCATATTTTACAATTTTGGCCTGTGCAGTATTTAAAAATGGCAAGAACCTTTCACGTCGAAATAAACACTTGCTTTTCGGTCAGGAGTTAAAGTTTTGATCCCAACATTGTCCAAAAGATGCTGCCTGACAGTTTCTGCTCCTTAACCATCTCTTTGCTTGTTAACCAATACTCTGAAATATTATACAGAAAAAAAGAAGGAAAGGGGGCTACACAAATTAAGACTACCATTACAAATTATGACCATTTCCAGCCATTTTCTACAATGAAGAACAGACCTCTCACTCAATAGTGGTTTTAATGCCATTTGCCTAAACCATCGAGGCAAGTAAATTATACTCTTCATTTTTTCAGTGTTATTTTGTTATGGCCATGATGGTATTCCCTTCCTAGGGACATTACACGGATCTGGAATTGCCTTAAATAAACAACAAAAAGAAAAAAAAACAGCATCTTTGTCAAATTAAGGTATTTCAAAATTAATTCTTTATTTGCTGCTTTTTGACGGATTCAGTCAGGAATTCCCATTGAAAAAAAAAAAAAAAAAAAATGATCAAAGTTTGTATGTTTTCAAGAGAAAAAGCTGTTAAATCAATCTTTTTTCATGCTTATCGGAATGACTTATTTAAAAAAAAAAAAAAAAAGAGATTCCTTTCCAAACAGACCATTTACAACAAAGCAATGACTGGACACCATCAGCCATACCAAGTTCAATGATTCTGATTTATAGCCACAATGGTGAGGCTCGTTTACTGCAACACAAACTCTGCATGACTGTATATTCTTCGGATTTTATGTCAAATGTTTCAGTTTGGGAAAGAAATAAGAAAAAAAAAACTGGTTGATGTTTGTTATTTTTTTTTCCAATTATTATTGTCTTGTTTTATTAAAAGAAATTGAATTTTTAATTTGTTCATGTTTTTTTTTTCTGTTGTGTAATGTGGCTTCTCTTTGTCTTTTCTACAAATATTTTTATGGTTACTGCTCTGACAAGATTTTTTTCCCTGATGCCCAAACTATGTGTGTTTAAGCATCCTACTAGATTGGCAACTAGGTCCCACACCTTTTACTGTTGAATTAGGTAAATTTAACCACCACTTCTACTGCAACAGTTTCTTTTCTCTCACTACCCCTTCCATTTCCTTGCTTCCCTGATGACTACAATCATCAAAAATTTAAATGCAACATCAATCGACATCTTCTATCTTGAATCCCATTCAGCTTTTATCCTTTTCTTGGTCCCCTCTGTACCCAGTCTTCTCTCTCTCTCTCTCTCTCTCTGTAACCCCCTGCATACTAGTGGCATTCCTGCCTTGTTGGGATGAAATGATTTAAAAAAAAAATATTTATATCTGAGCAAACCATCAGTTTAGTGCCACAAAGGTGAAAACCTGTATTCAAGTAGCGTTATTCGTTTGCAAGTTGTGATTATTGTCATTCCAATAAATCTTTCTGAAGAAGTGTTGGACTAAAAAAGCCCTTTAAAAGAATGCCTTCCATCATTTTCAAAGCCATATATAAATTCTGCAGTAAAAAAAAAAATATTATATATATATATATATATATATATATATATATATATATATATTTATTTTTAATTAATTGAATTAAAGTACTAAGCTCTGTTCCGGCTTCAATTAGTTATTTTTTTTTTCAAAAAAGCAGAGCTTAGTACTTTAATTCAATTTAATTCAAATAATTATATTGAAGTTTTCAGTTCTTGTTTGGAAACATGAGAACTCTTATGTAGTGAAGGAATCATATTTTTAAATAAATAATTATATTTAGGCTCTACTTTTGTATCGAGCACTGTTTTTTTAAAAATAATAACAAAAATACTAAAGAACTTTGGATTATTTACCTAATGAGTTCTTTCCTATTTTCTATATATTTTCTCTCTCTCACTCACACACACACACACACACACACACACACACACACACGTATATACATATATATATATATATTTTATTATGAGAGATTATAATTTTGGTGCAAATCCAATAAAATTGCAGCCGTGCATTAGTACACACACACACATCCTGCCTTTTTTTTATATATATATATATATATATATATATATATATATATATATATATATATAATATATATATATATATATATATATATATATATGTGTGAGACAAATGACAACCTATGAGAGTGTCATGCATGTATGGCCAATGTAAGAATTTAATGTTGGAGAATTTCCCAAAGAACGTAAGAACTCATAAACAATATTATTTTTGCATAGGGAAGATTTTTGAGGTGATGAATTATTTCTAAAAATTAGATTTAATGTTTTGAATTTTTTATAATAGTTTTTATAAGGATCAATAATTGAATTTTTAATTTGTTCATTTTTTTTCTTTTTCCTCAGAAAAATTTCATGAAACAGAATTAACCTGTTCATTATCACAACACAAGATGGACTCAACAAGTCAATTTAGCACCACAAAGGTGATTCTCTTACCATACAACAGCATCTATTTATACAATAAAGGAAATTTGTATATTAAACTGACAAATTAATTATGTGCCTTATGTATAGGTGTGGATTTTAAGTTCAGACTCATTTAAATTATTCAGATTTTTATGTCTATATTTCTTTGATATTTGCAGGTGTATTAGATGAAAATAGAACTGATTTTAGCATGGAATAAAAAGCATATGTTTTAAAAAAAAAAAAAAAAGCACAAATCAAAAAATGTTGGAAATATGTTGAAAGAAATATCTGAACTCTGCCAGACAAAATTGTGGACAATGAAAGTGACACTTGCTCCCATCATTACTAGCATGCTGCCAAGAAGAATTGTGTTGCCCTCAAACCCCTCCCTGGTTGTCCAAAATGTCCAACACCCATGGCTGATCAAATAGGTGATCGCTTTGATTATAAGGTAGGCCAAGATCAAATTGCCATCAGGTATCTTTGTATTGGGTTAGTCCGAGTGGAGTGTGAGAACACAAGAGAAATTATAACACTTGAATAACAAAAAAAAAAAAAAAATTTAAGGTCCTTCGTACAACAGTTGGTTAATTGTTGTTAAAGTCTAGGAGTTTTCATGCAGACAATTATCGAGCCAACCTGTTTCTTAAATCAGGCATGACACTTTGGTAAAGTTTGTTTTACCGATTTCGTGAAGTTTGGCACTAGGCTGATGTCAGAGTTTCTCGTCAGCAGATAGTCACGTGGGATGTCTCACATCCAGTAACTGGAACAATCTCTCTTCTCTCGCCTTGAGGCATTCGTATTTATTGACCTTCGCCCAAACCAGCATGGGGGTGTGATGTGGCTGGGTATTCAGTATCTTCTGTACCTGTCTTAATTGTCTGGGTAAATTTCCCTCTTCCATGGGTGATGGTCACAGGTATTAATCTGTCCCACAACTTCCACCTTCTCTTATTACGATCTCCCACCAATACTCCTCAGTAGGTGACAAGCTCCTCCACCTACCTTAGTGTCTCATCTGCACCCACCACCTAAACATCCTTCAATCAATGGTTGTTGACTGCCTCGGGGTGAAGAAGGAAAAAAAGATTAATTCCAAGTTCATTATCTATACAAAAAAAATTTTCCATGTCAACCCTATGTTTTTCATTGTTCAAAATTGAAACACAATTCAGTGACATTCTCTAAGAAAATCCTTATCTCCAAATTATGACTTCAAATCCTTTCCAATTCTCTCCTCTTGCCTTCACAGCCTGTATTTTTAGCTGTAGGTTATCTATCAAGTGTCAAAATATTTGCCATGTGACTTGTCGTAAAGTTGAATGTTGTTTTCTTTGCTAGCCGTCTGGTTCTTGGCCTTTTAAGCAAAAAAAATCTTCAATCTTTCCCTGGATGGTCTATTGGTATATTGTTCCTTCTATCCACAAAAAAAAACTTTATTATTTACCAGTAATAAATAGTGTCACACTTGGAAAGTCAATAAAAAAATTGAGACCATTCTGAAGAGGGTCTTTGAGTATTGAGGAAACTTTCTGTCACTTGATCTCCATGTACTGTTATCAAAGCATATATCATTCATATTTGGCTGTGATGTGTGTGCCTGGTATACTCTAATTAGACAGCATGTCATGATGGCTATATTGGGCATGGCGCACCCCAGCATTACTTTATTGGTATTTTTCTTTCTCATTCAATAATGTTAATTATTATAATTCAAGTAAGAATTGGGTGCCCAGACTATGGCATTACCGGAATCTGTGAGAATACAAAGAAAAGTAGTGGCGAGACTTTGAAACTTGTTGTCACTCAATATCAGGTGATAATATTTTGAAGTGAGTAAAAATTTTTCCCATAGACTTATCTGTGGGGATAGAAGTCGATAAAATTGATAGATAAAAGAAAGAAAAACACCAAGGAAGAGATCATTAAAGCCATCCAGACAAGAAATGGAGACTAAAAATCTGTTCATAACTCACATTAAAAGTCTTCTGTTTAGTGCCTCACACGAGATAATTTGTTTTACCGTATAGTGTGTTATTCTTTCACAGTATGAGAGCATCTCCTCATGCAAGCAAAAGACATTTGAATATTAAGCCAACGAGTGAATGTTTGCA